ACCTATCTGGCATAGTCTGGCGGTCTTCCAAGGGATTGCCTAAGCCTTAAAAAATGCCTGGGGTCCCAAGTGAACCCCACTCAGGTTGCATGATTGAAGGCTCAATGAAGTCGTGTCTGGCAGAAGGAAGCGCTGCTTCTGAGCACATTCCCCTTCGCTCAAACACTAACAACTTCTGGTTGCTTCTGGTACATCTGCAAATGCCTCGGCTGCAAGGTGTACAATGAAGAATGATCGAAGTTCAGTGTTCCTGAAAGGTACTGTACATGGGATTGTTATGAATTGTTGGTGAGCACCCCAAGTCCTATCCCCATCACTGTTCTTTTGGACTAGAAACCCCTCACGTCATGACCCTGGACATCGCTCGTCCAGCCACCATGGCCGTTGGACTGGAAAAAAGAAAACTGTCTGGCAAACAGCCTTTCTGCATGGCATGTTGAAACACAAATTGCGTGAAAAAGGATAGTTGTGTTTAACAGCTCAAGCGGACCTTAAAAAACAACCATCCACAAATGACAACTTGCAATTCAGGATCTAGCAGAGGTGAGTCAAGCTTGGCCAAGTCCCGCATCATTAGTACGATTCACAACAACAAAACCTCCAACCAACTCCTGCAGTGCTGATGAAGAACTCAAAAATATATATGATATGACTTGACCCAAAGAATATAGGGCTCTCTCACACTAGGGTGCCCTCAAAGTGAGCAAAGCCCACCCTGAGAAAAAGACGACCTGGCTCAAAGAAACGGCTCAAAGAACCGCACCAGCTGCGTGGCCACCTCTCTGCAACAACGCCAAGCTGCTCGACCCGCAAGCTCTTCTTCAGCTCCTCGAGCAGGGAGCTGCTCTGAACAAAGGGGATAAACTTCACCTGCAGCCGGGACGACCGTCGAAGCAAACGCTCGTCGACCCCACGACCAACGTGGTCAGCACCCAACCTGCAACTAGCCAATCTGCATGAGTAGGACAGGAATCTTCTTCGGCGCATGTGGACCAAGGTCTTTGCAGACACCCCAAATGAAGGCGCCCCAAGTGCACGTCCAATCTCAGCCAATCCCACATATAAAAAGAAACATCCTTCAACTGCTGGTTTTGGCATGTTTTGGCTATGAGAAGCCACCGGGGAGTCTGGTGTGGAACGACGCCGATGCTCTTCCCCCGCTTCGGGGAGTCTGAAAGACACTGTGCGTTTTAGATTTTAGACTTGGACCCCTTGACTTGGTGACATCTCGACAGGCTCTAATCGCACTCCTTCCCCTAATAGCGATGGCCTCCAACCCAATAGCAATATATAGCAATGGCCTCCAACCCAATAGCACTCCTCCCCCACTAGTGTCTTAGTTCGCTACAACGGGTCTCTTAGTTTGCTACGAAGACCCATGAATCTGGAACTCAACCTGTCAACTTGTGATTCATGGCGGGAGTGACTTGAAGGCTTCTTAGCCGAGCCATGCCGGCGGGGCTTCACAACTGTGTGTGTGTGTGAGAGTGTAAGGTCAGCACCCAGACCTTTGAGGCCGATTGAGCTGCAGAGGCGAAGTACCAAAAAGGAAAAACATGGAAAAGGATTGCAACAAATCCTAGAGCTTACTTGTAACTCCCAAAACACGTTTGCATCTCTTTGTTCAACACCCCATCCCCCCATCATGAACATCCCATAATGATTGGGGATCCTCCTCCATGTTGCTTCCTCATGTCGTCCCGCATCAGCCATCCCCTCTGGCTCCCTGGTCCCTCTCTCTCCCTCAGCCAGGCCACTGTCCCTCTGCCAGGGGCCATCACGAAGGCGTTGTCGCTAAAGCGACCCTGTGCCAAGCTGGTTAAGGTCACGTACCTGGGATAAAGACCATTGGTACTTCGCCCGACGACCGCGGAGGCGGGCGCCGGAGCTCGCAGCTCGGGACGGAGCTGAGTGATCAGCGACGTCTGATCATCACGTGGTCTGGTTCAGTGAAGCTGAAGGTCACCTTTCATGATCTGTTTTTGGAGACTACACTTTCTGGGTGAATCCTTTTGGAGGTCTAAAGCTCATTGGACCCAAAAACAGAAGACCAAGCCCCCACGTAGGCTCCTCCCACGCAGGCGACCGACTTGCATGCCATGGTGCAGAGCAGTTCGGTCCTCAGCTGGCCACGAGAGGAGGAGAAAGGAGCGTTTCGGAACACTGGGCGCTGGTGGATTGACGTGAAGTCTGGTCTTGGCACCCCAAACCACTTGGTTTTGGTCTCCGCATTCCGGACCGCATGTCATGGGGTGGAAGAGGGGTATCTGTCGCCTCCACCGTTTCCGCCGGAGGTTTGAACCCGCTGGTGTCATTCGCCTTCGCCGAGGGGCTCAAGCCTGTATCATACCATGGGTTACTTAGTCATGTCCAATCGTTACATGTGGTTTCATGCCCCAAACATCCGAGTGGTTTTTTTGGGGGACCGACTCATGAGAGGTCCCTCTAGCGGTGGGTACATGCCATCGATTCCACCCAGAGAAGTTGGTCAGCCAGAATGGGAACACCATCCATCCAGGTCAATCCAAGTCCATCCATTCACTCAGGTCGAGGGCAGGCATCCGCCACCAGCTCAATATCGACACTGCCATCGCTGTTGGCTTTCTCGGCCACAGTCGCTGAGACCTTGCAAATGACAGTGATGCATGAAAGAGATATTCATTCTGAACATATCCGAATAAATCGAGAAAATACCTGCAGTTACACAGGTCGCCCTCACCCTGGTTGTGCTGTAGGAACGTGATCTCACCAAGACATGGAGCCACCCAAATATCAAATCAAAGGAGTTTATTGACACCCGCATGTGTGGAATATCATTTATAGTGACTGATGGACCAGCTCTGTCACCTGTTTCCCCACCTTCGCTGCTGGCAGCTTGAGCTTGAACGGAGCAACCTCAGTGCGGTTCAAACCCCATCAAACTCCTTGCGAAAAAAAAATGGGTGGCCATGTGTCAAACAACAGCCCAAGGCACCGTGGGTCTTGTCTGCAAGAAACAAAGATTCCCAAGAAACTCAAAAAACAGAAGAAAAAAACACTGATGAGACTGACGTCTGGGACGTTGATTCAGGGCTTCCATTCAAAAATTCTTATTCAGGGGGTTCTCCTGGGACTTGACACAGATCCATTCTTCGCGTCTCACTGTTTCATAGAGATTTCGAAGCCTTCACCGTGGGAGTCAGCCCCCCTGGTTCAATCAAGCACTTGATCTCAACGGTCGTGCTGGAGTTTCTGCAAGAGTGTCACAGTCTTCTTAAAGAGGAAGCGAACTGAGATGTCTGAAATCTCTAATTCTAGATAAGACTGCTCTTAGGCTATCTGCGATCTCCCACGTCTTCATCCTGTTTGATCTGATCTGTTTCATCCGCCCTCCAAGGGATCGGGCCAGCAGTATCTCATTGAAGGACACCTTGGATGGATTGGTCGGTTTGCACTGCACTTACGTCTCCGTGGCTCAAGGGAAGCTCCGCATGCGTCGGTGACCGGCGGAAACAGGGCGATCACTTCTCGGCCCTGAAAAAAAGGCATGTTGGGAATCCAACTTCAAGGGGATCACAAGCCGCGTTGCGATCTGCGTGATGCCCACCTCGTACCGAGTTTGGAACACCTCCTATACCTTGAGCACTTCCAAGGCTCGCAAGCTGCAGGTCTGGATGGGAGAGCGGAGCGAACGGTTGGGGACTCCGAGGGCACCCCCTGGAGGTTTGGGAGCCGAAAAAGGAACTGGAAAGGGCCCTGGAATGGCTCCTCCAGCCCCTGGGCACCGAAGTCAATGGGAAAGGTAAATGAACGATAATGAATGTAAATGATGGATTCATCCACAAGAATATCTCTTTAGAATTCTTTAGAACAGCTGGATTCCTCCGGAATTGCTGCAACTCGCTGCTTTCATTGATGAAACACATGGGCCCCCAGTGTTTTTAGGGCCGCCCCGTGTCGAGGTGTTTTTCTCCGCTCAGGCGCTGCAGCGGGCTCTGCGCCGTAGGCAGTGATCGGCCTCGAATCTTCTGCAGCATGGGATTGTCTCTATATGTGTTCCTGCTCTTCAGGCACATCCATGCATGTGCATGACGAGCGCGTGTCCAGAGCACTTATGAATTCTAACTGAACAAGGGTTAGCATTCTAAAGCATGCCCAACACGGATTGCACAGATTACACCCAACACGCGGTTCCGTGGCAGCACGGAATTCTCCCAAGAATGGTTTCGTTGCACATGTTTGGTCAGAAAGTGTTTGTGTTCAAAAGGCATTGGATATTCTTTTCACGATGACGATGACAATAAACCGGGTACAGTAGGTGTCCAAGTTTGTTTTCTTCCAAGGGCCCAAGGGTTCATTGTTGCCTTGTGAACATTGCTTCCATATCTGAACTGGCGCAACTACGTGCAACTACGACAACTTTGTAAACTGCTTTGACACGTGAGGATCAGATGCAGTAATTCTCTATCCCAGTGCCCAAAAGGGATTTCATACTCACATTCGCTAGTCCTACCCAGATGCGTTCATGACAACGTGGCTCAACATTCACTGGCCCAAACGGCGTGCAATTCCAGAATGACCTACTGAGGTCAGTAGGAGCCCCTAGTAGCGTCCTTGCTCCTAGCAGAAGCCCCTAGTAGCGTCTTTGCTCCTAGTAGCGATGCCAGGAGCCCCTAGTAGCGTCCTTGCTCCTAGTAGCGATGCCAGGAGCCCCTAGTACTGTAGCGTCCTTGCTCCTAGTAGCGATGCCAGGAGCCCCTAGTAGCGAACATTGCTCCTAGTAGTAAGGCTCACAAGTCCTCACATTTGATCCTTCCGAGTGATTCCCCGTGACGGCACCTCCCTCATCCTCCAAGGCGCATATCGTGCGGACGCGGTGATGACCGGAGACACTCGCCAAGGAGGACAGTGCTGGTGGGATCCTCCACATTCACCTGGTCACCGAGCTGCGAATTGCAGTCAATCCGTGAGTGAACACACTGGCAACCTTCATCTTCAAACTCGTTTTCCTGCAACCGGTCCTAGTCAGTCATAGTGTGGGAACCACAAGCCATGAACTGAAGCACAGCACATCCAAGAAAACGAAGCTTCTCAAACATCAGCACAACTGATCCAAAAACAACACAAGGTAAAAACAAAAACTTCACCACCGGGATCCACCGGGCCTTGAAGATCCTCTTGGTGCCGGGCCCTGCTGCCAGTCGCACGTCCAACCTCGCAACCACGGCCTTGGCCCCGTCCGAGAGGCGCCTCGGGTGGAGCCGTATAGCCTTCGGCCAGCAGGTCCAAGCCGTGTAAACCAGGTCAACAGAGTCATGTGGTGTCAGAGTCGAAAAGGCAATGAGTTGGCTCATGACTCGACTGAAACTGGACTCATGACTCGACTTCTAGACGTTCACTCCTTGCTCCGAGCTCCGAGCTCGGATGGATTCCGAGCGGCAGGCTGGAGACGGTACACTGCCCGTCGAAGGTCGTGGAGCCGTCGTTCTTGGCGTAGCACGTGCCATTCGCTCCGCAGGCCACGAAGACATCGGCGAAGATCGACCGCCTGGACCGGTGAAGAACGAAGGAGAAGGGTTCCAGTGGCACTCCCAAAGAGATCCAAAAAGGAGATGTTTTTCACAGCTCTGGAGAAGAAGGTCTGATAAGATCTGGTTGTCGAGACTGCAAGTCACTTCCGAGTCGTCCTTTGACAAGCTACACAAAGCACAAGAAGCCCTGGGTGCCAAGCCAGAGATTCAGGATGCATCACCCCAATCTTCCCTTCATTCAGAATACAACGCATACATGGAGCACCAAACACAAACAAATCCTGCGTCATCCCCCATTCTGGGCCCCATTCTGCTTCATCCTGCCTATAGAGGTAGTGCAAGGGCTTCCAGCGCCCTCCCAGGACTTGGCCCGTCTCAGCACTACCATACCTTGGTGCGGTGCTTCCGAAACACCACGGTCCACAGTGCGCACCACGGTCAACGCCCGGGGCGTCACCGACCGAAGAAAAGAAGCGACGTGTTGGGCCAAGGCAGCCAAGGGGCTCCACAGAACCTTGGGTTTTTGAAAGGAGATGTCTCAAACAGCACCGTAACAAGAAGCTACTAGGGGCTCCTGGCCTTGCTACTAGGAGCAAGGAAGCAGGTGTCTCAAGAAGATTCCAAGTGTCACTTCAAGTGTCTGCCCAAAGAGTTTTTGGAGGGTGGAGGTCCAGATTGCTGCAAAGGCTGGGCTTTGCAGCCATCACATCATCAATGTGATTTGTCCTTTCAAAGTTGATGCGTTTAGTAAGTGTCTCCACTGGAGAAAGATCCAAGGAGCCCCAGCCACCCGTTGGCCAAATCTCATTCAGCTGCCAAACCAATGCTCCAAACTGGTTCTGCGACCGCCTGCAGGGTGCGATGCTGTTTTCTTCGGGCAAACCGCCGGCACGGAGAGTGTCTTCTACCGACGTCCTTGTTAAGCATTAAGAGCAGCACTGTCACAACTGCACGCACCAACACGCCTGGTCTCAATGTCGGACTTCAGGATCAAAGCTTGCGAGAGCATGCACTGGTAGAGATGTTGCTTGAACACCTCCTGCAAGCACGCACCATCAAACAACTCGTGCTTGGTCATATCAAGACTTGCACAACTGTGTACCCTTCATCACTGTGTCGCCCTGCCCCACCTCTCCCGTCATGTTGAAGTACCGATCCGGATAAAGTCCTCAGATGCCCCATCTGCCATCGCCCCATCTCTCGACCACTCTCCAAGCGGCCGAAGTAGGCATTGATCAAGCTGTCGCAGGGGTAATTGCGCTCCGCCATGACGTTGTCGCCTGCGGGGGGAGGAAGGCGTTCGAGCGTAAAGAGTGAAGAAAAGAGGTGCTGCAAGGAGGTGTGCAGGGTTTAAGGGTCTTTCAGAGGCTCTTGGAAGAGGCCGTAAAACTCATCCAAAAGAGCTGTTCCAAACGAAACATGCTCGACTGGAAAGCCTCGCCTTTGCAAATGTTCGGGAAGCCATAGCCTTCGCATTCATCCTGAGATTCAGAAACGCTCCAAAGACTGGCAAGCAAACCAAAGACTGGCAGTAACCTGTACCCAGCAGGGCATGTGAAGCAGCAGGAATTAATCGAACAAGCAAGAAAAATTGCAAGTCCATCAAGTTTCTCACCTCGCACAACTGTTCTCTCAATTTCACTGAACTTGCAAAACCTCCCATCATCTCCAACCCAAAGCACAACTCTTCCAAGTCCTTCACCTTCATCCTGCCGCTCTCTCCCACCTTCAACCTTCAACCTTCACCTCAACCGCCGCGTGGCATTCGGCTGCCCGCCATGCAGGCCCCAGTGCTCGGGCGCCAAGGTGGGCGCCATGGACTCGAAGGAGCTCATGACCACGGCACCGAACTCCGAGCCGAAGATGTTCCGCCCCCCCCAGCCGCGTGGGGGACAGGTCCACCTGTCCGCCAAGGGAACGTCCATGCTGCTACGCGTGCGAAGGGGAGTGGTCCACTCCACGAAACCACGGGGATGCCAGGCGTTTCGGGGTTTCTGAGGATGAATGTGGATCCGAGTGTTCTTTTTGTTCCAGCGAATGGAATGCCTTGCAGCCTTCGTCCAAGTCTTGTTGGCATGCCAAGATCGATCCCAAAGAAAAGGCCAACCACTTCCAACCAGCTTGAAAGCCCACCAGCCTTGATGGGGAGGTTGGCCGGGAAGGGAGTCAACTTGATCTCCCCATTCACCGAAGGAAAGCCCGTGCCATGTTGGTAGTAGCCGTGGGTTTCGATGGTCGCGGCTCCCTTCCTGCGACAAATGAGACGACACCCCCCAGCACCAACCGTCTCCTTGCATCAAAGGTGGACTCTGTAGAATCTCTACCCATCCAAAAAAAGACTCAATGATGAACTCGCCGGTCGCCCGGTCCCTGGGGTCGTCAAAGGCTGTCCATTCGGCCGGCAGTCCAACTTGTGAACTCCTGGCCATCGTGGAGCCCAACGCGGCGGATCACCGCCCGTGCGGCATCCCGCCCAACCGGAGTGGAGCGGTGGACGGAACCCGAAGCAGCGAGTCTTGGGGACGTCGATGTGCGAGTGTGGTCACTGGGTGGCAGGGTGTCCACGATTCTAAGGGCACCAAGGATGACGAATGAAAATTGTATTAAATCAAATGGAGGGGCAATGATGTACCCATTCAAGATAAGCCACGGCCGATTTCTTATCATAAGAACATATAAGAACGGGGGTTCTCCATTTTCCAGCCATGTCCTTTCCAAGCGGGACACCTGAAGTGGTACTCTATTCCATGAGAGTCGCTACACTCCGACTCACAAGCATGGAAGTGCATGTTTGAAGTGGAAAATGGTCTGCTCAAAGGCCAGGTCAGTGAGTTGGAGGGTACGTTTGCATGATCTGGTTGGAAGGGCCCCATCGTTTACGGCTGACCAACAACAACGTCCGGCCATCCGGCATCTACGAATCGTGCGATCCTGGAGGCACTGGTTGACTGACTTTCACTGGCTGCATCGCACCGACTGAGTGAAAACCATCCACCGCACATGAAAGGAGATGCCAAAAATATGCCCATCTTGGAAGGACTGCGGCGCAGTAGAAGCGCATTCATCAGGCAGATGTGAGAGAAGATGGTGGTATTGCAGTCAACCAGTGCTGTCTCGGATTGCCTCACCCTTCCTTCCCACCCAAACGCCGCACGCCGCACGACGTGTTTACGGGCCAGCCTGTTGACCAGCCATAGGCAGGGCAGGAGGGCCAGATCGAACGCGAGTCATCTTCTTCTGCCACCACGGTCATCACGAAGCTGGCATAGATCCCAGTGTCCGTGCCCATGAGGACCTCAAAGATGTTACAGCGCAGCAATGAGCCCAACATCTTTCCCTGTGGCCCTACGCAGTTTTGGAAGGATTGCAAGGTGTTCAAGAGCCGAACATGTGTGGATTTAAACTCCACACCCGCCGATGAACTAGTGAAGAGAACTAAATAATGTCTCTCTGCATCTATTCATCTACACGAGTATCCTTCGTGCGAAACCAATGATCGCCAAGCCCATCCAAGTCAGTCTTCTCGCAGCGTCGTGGATCTGTGAAATATGAAGCGTTGACTACTCCGCCACCCCCCCAGCCGCTAGCCTTGATTCAACACAGAAGCAATCCGAGATTTGATTTTCTGGTGCCTCACAGCCAATACTCTGGTACCTCACAGCCTATACCAGGTAATTGGTACGGAAAACTCAAGCACCGCAGAACCTTCTTCCCACCAATGCGCAGCGCTTCACCAACAGTGTCAAGGTACAGTGCATTCATTGCAGCCATCCCAAATCACAATGGAAGGATGTGATGATAGCCGCCTCACCTGATCAGCAAGATTCCAAACAATGCATTCTTTGGCTTGCTAAAGCAAGAACAAGCTCAGCTAGCCAATGCTAGGTATATATCGTGTCAAGCACCATGTCCTTGGTTCCCCAACTGTGTCCCCCCAACGGTTCTCGGCGCTGGCGTGTCACTGGTGGATGAGCACACCCGTTCTGCGCGCGCGCCTGGTGACGGAGCTCGGTGTCCTGGACCTGATTCTTCTCGGGCGCATGGCCACTCTGAGCATACATCATGTCATGATAGACCTGGGCCGATGGAGGGCGTCACTCGTTCACGGAAAAAACTGATGGAGGAGGCCTGAAAAATATAGAGCCTTTTTGCTTGGTAGACACCGAAACAAGGAGAGCACTGGCAACTACTGGGACACAGAAGCAAATCGGTTGAAAATCAATCTTCCGTTGATTGATACATAACCTCCCCAATCTTTAAGGGAGCGAAAGACCTCAAACACCCCAGACATCCCACACCCAAAGAGCCTTCTTCCGTGAGCGGAGTGTTCCAAGATCATCTTGGACGTGTTACATGACTTTTCAGCAGGTAGAATTCGTCATTGCACTTTTGCGGTGGGTTCATCTAGAGAAATGGAAATACGAGTATCAATCAGCACACCTAAGTGAATTTCTGGAATATGTGCTTATGTGAATTGTCTGTTACTTTCAGCTGTCCTGTGTCCACCTCCCTTGCCCTCATTTGCCTAGAAGCGATCAGGCCCAGCTCATCGCAAGTGTCATAAAACTCGTCCGGCATGAAGATGCCACCGCCCCAAATCCGCAGGGTGTTCATCCCTGAAAAGCACGGGGCCAAGGTCCCAGGGTGGGCCCTGCACGGCCCCCAATACCGGATTCGAGTGGTTCAGTCCGCCGGAGTCCACATTCTCGGATGTCATAGGTTGGGGACTTCTGAGCAGGGACATGCTGCATAGACTCATCATGACTCATAGACCGTTTCATTTCCACCGCATTTGGTATTCCCCAAATTCACATGACAAGCACTGAAGAGTGGAGCCCATGGATTCGAGAGCTCCCTGGCTCCTCCAGACACCTGTCTCGTTTGATCTGCTCTACTGTAGGTCTTCTGATTTTCGTGAGGCCTTTTGGCTCGTTTTGGCATGTGAAAGTGTCAGTCACACTTGCACATTCTGCTAGCAGGTTTTTTAGACCTAGAAAATGTAGTTTTCGAATTTTGAGGTTCACCGAAGTGAGACGAAAAAAAATGACAAACCTCAGCAGACTTGCTGAACTCTGAGCGACTTCAGCGTCAGCCGAACTCTTCTCACCCCCTCCATCCGGAAACCGCGCCTCCATCGGCGGCTGAGCGGACCAGGAGGCGATGTGCCTCTCCACTCATGCGGCCCTCCAAGTTTTCCATGGGGATCACGTTGGCACCTGAACAACCCAAAACCCCGGAGATGCCCCTAGCCGCCTAGCCGGACCGCCCTTCGAAATGACCGCGCTTTTCCAAACCAACCCGGAAACCGTCTTCGGTGGAGTGGTCCAACACCCACCGGGCACCTTTGGACCAGAAGGCCGCGCCGTTGATCCGGAAGTACATCCCCACCGAGGCCGTGCCCTGCTCCTGCCGCGCCGACGCCACGTAGGCGGCGTCCGTGTCGTCGCCGGTGACCAGCGCGAAGTAGCGGAAGCCCAGGCGGCGCTGGGTCGTGGAGGGCGCGGAGGGCGCGGTGGGTTGGAAGTCCACCTGTCAGGTCGGTCGGTCGAACCATCGTCCACCCTTCGGTGGACTCGGCAGTGACGCTTGAGGCCCAGCTTTCAGATCAAGGGTGGGGTGCCTCAAGACAGTGTTGACATGTTCAGTCCAAATGTTTTCTGTGATTTCTGTTCAGAGATGAGGGGCAAGGCCAACCTCCTGTCAAGGTTCTTGACTGGTGCCTCTCACACGCACTGCCTCTCACACTTGGGTGCGACAGTCATGGTGCCTACACTCATTGGCCACAATATTCATGAAATTTCGTGCACAGTCCACCTTCAGGTCGTACAATGGCTGGTCCCCCATGCCGATAGGCCACCATAACTTGATCTCCTTGGCCGACGCATTCACCTGCCACGTCAATCATGTGGATGTGAACGATAGAGTGATGGGTCAAACGATCATAACCAATCCCTACAGATCGATCAATGAAACCCCAATGTATCCTAATGGATTCTCACACCTCACGCCCCCTAAATGATTAGTTAGGTTACGCTAGGATTGTAAGATGGCACGTGGGCCACTCTAGAGTCTAGAGTGCACAAGCTGCAAACAGTCATGACACCACTGGCACGCCTCCAGCGTATGCTTGGAGATACCTTCTGGCACTGAGACCGCCACGGGCGCCGGTGTGGAACCCCACTGGGGACGCAGCTGCAGAAGGCCTTTGGTGGCAGCCTTCGCCGAAAGGAAGATGTTCACCTGTAGCAGCGGAGTCGTCTCAGCGACAACTTCGTCTCGGCCACAACTGACACATGCAACCTAATAGCCATGGCCTCCACCCTAGCAGGGATGCGATGGCCTCCAACCTAAAGGCGATGGCCTCCAACCTACTAATGTTGTGTTGGCTGGATAGATGCACGCGCATGGTCAGGCACTTCTATTCCCCAAGCAATAGATGCTCATCCGCAATCTATTGCATCCTCCACGTCGTCAACTTTCCCTTTCCTTCAAATCTGTGAGAGGTCTTCCCATGTTCAAGAGCCATGGTTGGGGGGGAAAAAAAACACAACCACAGCGGTTGCTCAAATTACTGTACCGCCGCTGTAAACGGGCGGCTGGACCAAAGGACACACCGACCGCCAGTGTCAGCCGGCCAACATATCACAGTTCTTCTTGTTCAATGGCTCATCATGACCATTGGCCCCAGGATCCTGGAAATTGAAGATCTTGGTGGGTCATCAAACCAGGTAGACTCCTGCCTTCACTTGGAAGCCAGCGTGCTCACCATCCACCAAAGCACTGGTCGGATAGGACCCCTGGTAGAAGACTTTCGGCACGACATGGAGGATCGATGCAGAGGCACTAGGAGTGTAGAGCAAGTAAACCTTAGATCATTCTCTCAACTCACCACAGATTCACCTCCCGGCTGAAGAGGGAGGCGGAAGGAAGATTTTGCTGGGAGTCCCAAATCGCTCCGAAAGAACGATTCGGAGACCGTTCAAAGAACTATCATGAACCGTCTGAACTCGAGACAAACAAAGAAACACAAAGAAACACCAAGCCTATTCACATCCTACTCACTTGCAAATTCCAAAAGACATGCTTCCAAATTCCATAGGTGAAGGTCGCCGCCCCCTCCTGCGCCGTGTTCGTGTAGGGCGCCCAGTCCCAGCCCCCGGAGGAGGCCATGAATCGGCCGCCGACCTTGATCGAATGGTCGAAGGTCACTTCCACGCGGTTCGCCAAGTCACCCTGAGCAGGGCTAAGCCGAGTTCGGACGAGTCAGTTCCAACGTTCCCACCGTTCCGGCGTCTTTTCGTGTTTCTTGTTGGAAAAGTTAATGTTCCAAAAATGGAGGGCACGACGACTTTGACGAAGCACCATTCTAGCGGAACGGTTTCTTTTCGGCCTGCCTCTTGCAAGAGGCCATCCAAGTCAAAGCTATACCTCACAAACTGGCTGGTCGCCGTGCCCAGAAGCTTCCCATTGACCTCAGAAAGAAACATGCATCAGAGGCTCCGGGTTTTTGGTCCGGGCTCTTGCTCCGGGCCAAAACAAGCTTCTAGCAAAAGGCAGAGATCTAGCAATTGAAAGCTAGGAGTTGACTACATGATGCAAGCCAGTAACTTTGATGTTGGCGCCCATCTTGATGCCATCGAAAATCAGCTGAACCCGGGCCAAGCTTCGCAGTTGCGAGCTATCTACAGTGAAGTTCGTTGAAAAACTCCAGGTCTGTTTGTTCCAGATGTCACTCTTCAACCAATTCTTCTCGTACCTCAGCCAAAAGAGTTGATGCGCTCATTCCCGAGCAAGAACGCAACTATAGACTATAGGGGGACTTTCTTCCTGCAATCTCGTGAATTGGACATGCCGGAAACGAAGGAGAAGCACGCCCACATGCTGCCAGAGCACAACGGGTCACCAATCTGCTTGGCGGCCTCAAGCAATCCAGGGCTCGAACCGGTGGCTGTTTGGATGGGTCTGGGTGGTGATCAACCTACAATCAAGACATTGGACAGGGTTGGAACATCCCACGGCGTCCTCTCCAAACATCCCATCGAACCTGGAAGATTTACATCACCTACACATGCTCAACCAGGATTCACCCACTGGAAGGCCACACCACACCAGCGGCGACTTAGACATAGAAGACTCCGGACCGCGCCTGCAAGTCGGTGATCAAGTCCCCCGGCACCTGGGCCTGGCGATGAGGGCGGGGCAGGTGACCAGGCATGCTGCCCGAGCTCGAAAAGAACTTGAAAAACCAACAGTGCTGTTTCCTTCTTAATATACCCGTTAGTGGATGGATCTTGATCTAGAGGTAAGTAATCCTGAGTAGTAGGCCGCTGAAACCTAACACATCGGCACATCCACTCGGCCTGCCCCACCCACTGAGGGCACCTTGATGCTCTGCGCGGACAAGGGCACCGAAGCATTGCCGGAGGAGGTGGCCGTCCACTGAGAACCACATCTTCCTCAGGTTGCCCAGTCTTCACACTGAACATCGCGAACGCTCCTTTTGCGGGGCCAGAGACACTGTTGGTGCCATGTTTGGGATGATGTTTTGTTGGTAAAGGAAGCATTGGTTTCCGTCTTCCACCAATACAGTCATGATGGCTGTGTTATTTCCTTTCCCTGCGGTGCAGCGGTTTTTTTTGGTGACGGGGTTGCTTTGAGGCACCTCCGTGGTGCTTGAATGGGTCAGAAAGAGAAAAAAAGAGAAAACGTGGCACCAGGACCCTACAGTGCGGATATTTCATGATATTTCACGACAAGAAGTGTAACCAATGTCAAACTTAAAAAGTTGAAAAAGAATATCTTGTCCATCTTGTTCACCAAGGTTGTGCAAGTCTCCAGAATAGAAATTGTTAAAATCAACTGCTCTCCTTTTACCGGTTTCTCCACGACACGTTTACCAATCTCCGTGGTAACAGCGGTAAAGCTCGGAGATATGAAATTAGAGCTTGTTTTCCTGTTTTCTCTATACGGGTTGTCAGAGGGTCCGCTAGCAGAACAGCGCGTGTGAATCGGCTTAGAATGCTGGTTGATTGGAATGCTTGAAATATATGTGTATATATATATATATAAGGATCCAGTACTTCTTTCATCTTCTTTCCAGGTCAGTCAGTACCACTGGCCATGTACCGCTCAGCTCGAAAAAACACTGGTTGTGAATTAGGAATTCTGAAAGCCACAACGTGCATCAGCCATCATTGATCAGCCATCGCTTCAAACCACCGGTCATCCGTTCTCCATAACGCGACTGTGTCGGCCTCAGCCAAGAAGCCGCTAAGGTAGACGGCCTGAGGTGGTGGTACGGTTCTCACTGGTGGTCGCATTCATCCCAGTTGCGGTGATGCCCACAATAATGCATCCAAAAACACCATGGATCCAGCCACAACTGCGGATCTATCCCCTTCAAATGAACGGCTTGAAGATCCACAGATCCGGGATGGACTGTGTAACCAAACGCGACCTGAAGTTGGTTTCCGTCAGGTCCATGTGTTTGTATCAGAGCCTTGCATGATCTACAGATCTCAGCGCCCAAAGGACCCGCGAAACCCAGAAGACCCTAAGGTCCAGACTGCAGCTGCACCGGGTGTCACCTGCATTGCCGAGGATTCTCGTTGTTTCTCTGTCCACGCAAGCGTTGCCGGATCTTGATGATTCCGGTTGTGGCATTAGTTAGGGTTTAGACATGTTTAGACTTTCTGGGGCAGTCCGTTGTAGGTGCGTTGCTTTTGGAATCCACTCGTTGTCAGTGTTGCCTCCAACAAATGGGAGGGCTCACACTCGAGCACCGCCAGCGCGGTGCCCCAAAGCAGAGCAAGCCTGGCGAAACTCGGCTGGCCCCAAAAACACTTAGACAGCCCTCACCACTTCAAGGTATTTCAAACACAAAAATCTCACGCTATACTCTTCCGCTACCCCTCCAGGCAGTTCTAAATGCAACTTACCCTTGGAGAATGCTATTTGGACAAGAGCTCAGAAGCCTTCTGCGAACTTGTGAACCTCCAACACAATGCAGAAACCAGTGCAGTAACAACAAAGTAATGTTCCAAAGTGCATTTCAAGAAATGGGCAGTAAGAAATGGACAGCTTCAACAGTTGTTCGCTTCTTCCGAAACAAAGCCCCAACGACCCGCTCCACGAAAAATTCATGGTTGCCACCTTGAAGGTCTAAGCATCTCTGGAAGCATCAAACTTGAAATCTTTTGCTTGAGCCGCAATGCTGGAACCGGTGGACGAGTCGGACCAGCATCAATCCAGTCTCCACTGAGCGAACGCTGGAACATCACCAAATGAACTTGCACTCTCTCAGCGTCACAGAATCACACAAGCATGGATAAAGTCTATGGATGACCCTCTTGAAAGCAGTGGGTCACTGCCAACTACAGTAGCAGCTCTACTGCCCTGCCGTCTGCCATTGGCACGTGAACGCAGAACCCAGCAAAATTCTGTGATTCTTTCACTTGCCATTCCCGACTTCCGACACAGGTGTGGATCAAACCCGGCATATCCCTCTGCAAAAAGACATCCCCAGCTCTTGCTCCCCTCATCCCACAGGTCAATGGCAGGCGCCCCAATTCTTTCGAACATTCCCAAACCCCAAGTCACAACTTTGGTTTGCGTCCGTTAGATCACCTCCAAATGGCGATGCAAAGTCGATACACGGACAGCTCAAAAGGAGCTCCCAAAGAGTCCCACCAGCGCGGCGAAAAGGAAAATGGCTCTCTCCGCACCATCCGCGACCGGATGCGATTCTCAAGGTCACCCGCACCTTGAGGCTGGTGTCAATCTTCAACTGCATGATCTCATCCTCGGTCACCCAATGGCTCGGATGAAGAGCCCCAGCCCATGAAGGTCTGAACGTGAACCAATCCGCATCCCAACCCATCGCAGTGCAAGTAGAGAACCCAACATGTTGTGAGCGATTGCAAAACTGGCCCCGCGAAGTTACTTTTGCTGAGGCCATAACCCGCCACGGTCAAGTCGTTTTATGCGCCAAGGCCCAGCCATGCCGATGACTCAACCAAGCTCCCCGGCGTAGCGCTCTTGCTTGGTCTTGGGTGTCTTTGAAAGCAACCCCTGGGCAACTCAAGGTCAGTCTGGTTGACATGCGAGTTCGTCGGGGTTGTCTGACTACCACTCAAACGGAGCGCTGCGCGTTCCACGCGTGGAACGGGGTTCACCGTTCAGAAGTCCTCTTTCGTCATGCGTCGCTGCTCGGTCGGAATGTATTGTGAACATGTCTAGAGTTCGAAGACCAAAGAGCAATCTGGAAGGAGCCGTTCGACCAGCCAAACCCTTTGGAACTCAGACCTCGCCTGCCATGGGAGGCAACCCTTCACCAGGTAGATCAGCACATATCCTAGGGCCTGGTATGGACTCACTTGCGCCAAAGCCGCTGGTGTGGGCAATCTGGGAAGGAAACACTCCGCTGCTTAGCGTGGCCCATCCTGGGTCTGTCTTTCACCACAAAAGCGAAAGAAAAAACTGCCTTTATTGCTCAGATGTTTGGGGTCCACAGCTGGCAAACCCTGAAACATGCTCTTGATCCATTGGAAGTGTTCTTACAGACATGCACACCTCAAAAAAACATGAAGAACTGGCATACATGTGCATGGTGGTCTTTCAATGTTTTTCTTCGATCAAGCTCATCTCAAAGCTTTCAGCTCTTCTACACGTGTGTGCGTGTCGCCAGGCAAGTCTCCTCAAAAGAACGTCTCCTCCCATCGTCCCTCTTCACTAGTAGGTTGGAGGCCATCGCTCTTACGTTGGAGGCCATCGCTAGCTGGGAAGGCGATCAGAAGCGCCCGGGCGCGTCCTCTTCGGGTCGCATCCGTCGCCTCGAGGTCATCCCGACGGCTTTGCTCAAGCCCTGCGTGGGCATTGATCGACGCATAGCGAGCGGTCCCCGTCAGGGCCTCGGCCGGGTCGGCCACCGACGCGTCACCGCGGGCACAAAGGGAGAAGCGTGGGAGAGGAAGTGGTGGGCCCAAAAAAGCCATAAAACGTGCAAAAAAGAAAAGGAACTCCAATTTTTGTCCAATACATATGTCTATCCCAAAAAAGGAATAGAAAGCTAGGGTGTATGTATATATGTTATGCACCAGAGTCTCCAGAGCGCAGCTGCGGTTTTCAATTGTTCCGTCTCACTCAGCAGGCTGCCTTGCCCTCCCTGTAGGGAATATGCACCTGAGTCTTGGAGTCCCTGTACCTCAGTCCAAAAAGCGGTCACAGCTCTTCGCCAAAGCCGCAAAAATGCGAAAAGCCCTGACTGAGCTGGAGGCTTCTTTGACAATCCAAAGTCAATCAAATTGACCTCGCACCGTTGGACTCAAGGCCCAGGAACATCTGCCCTTTTTCAAGGTCGCAAAGCCCCGTCCCAGGTCCGTCCCGACGCATTCGGATCGCTTCGGTCCGCCTGATTGGCTCGCCGGCCAAGTCCAAGTAAAAAGTTGTCGGGCTTAACCTCGCCAAGCTGATCTCGTCGAACGGGTGGAGACAGAGAAAAAAGGCCAAGAAGATGATCTCGTCGATTTTACGCACGAAGTGGATGGGATTGGGTGACCACTGAGGGAGGATTGTAGGCTTTCTTCGTTTTGAAGACACCAGTATGCCTGGCTGGTTGAAGGACTCCGAGCCCGACGGTCAAGAGACACTTTTCCATCCACAAAAAGACCAAAGGGATCTCGGATCCCATTCAGCACACAAGCACTCACCGCCTTCAGGTTCTTTGCTGGCATTGCGATGATATAGATTCATTGGTTGGACCCCAATGCAACAAAATTCAAAAGTGTCTCTGGAAGGACCTCTCCATGTGACAGTTGAAGTCCTCTTTTACCATGACCTCACCTTCACACACAAAAAACAAAGAAACATACCACGAAACTGCGGTCTGGCCGCATCGTTTTGGCAACGCAAGTCCGAGGGCAGCACATCACGATGAATGATGTTTCGGGAGTGAACACACTCCAAGCCTCAGAAGTCGGCCCATGGGGTCTCACATCGAACAAACACCGATGCGTCGAAGGGGCCAGAAAAGCGTCACGCTCGGCCATCGAGAGGCTCAAAACGGACCAAATGCGTTCTGCCTTTGTAGAGTTTCAGAGGTCCTGAGCAGAGCCATTTGCGTATAGTAATCCTATGTAATTCTAGTTCGGCCGCTCGGCCTTGCTCTGAAATAGTGATCATTGTTTACCAACTGTTACAGGTAACGGGACACCCCCGAGGTGTACTCAGGGTACTCGGATCAACTCGGATCAACTCGGTGCTCGTTTGCGGCATGGTGGTCTCCCCCACCCGCTCCTCTGCTGGAGACGTCTCGGATTCCGGGCGATTGATCATTTGGTCGGCAACCATGAGCACCTGAGAACATCAAGACTCAAGACCATCCTCATGAGAAACGTTCACGTACCGTAAGCCTGCTGAAAACAAATTCCAAGAGAAACAGCACATAGTCTAGGAATCTAGGCAAACATCAAGACATCTAGAAAAGAAACTTGACTGACTGAGGTAGGTATAAGGAGTCCGATGAAGACAGACCGTCTGGGTCTCAGACGGTCTTCAAGCTAAGTCTGCCCTTGCAGAAAGTCAGGAGATCTTCCAGGGACGGCCCCAGAAGGTCCTCACGTGCGCGTCGACTCGGTACTCGGTGTGCTCGACCGGTGGCGACAAACCAGCGTGGAAGAAGCACAGCTGAAGCTCGTTTCGCCAAAGGTCGGCTCACCCGAGGTCGGTGCCAGAACCATAACGGTATACGAATCCTGAACGCCATACCTCAAACAAGCATGCACGTGGCCGGATCAGAGCCAGTCAAAGACTGCAGCAGAACAAAGCACCGCTTTGGTCAACCTAGATGAGGCCACTGCCCCAACTTGGGTGTTCCTCAAATTCTAGTAGAGGCCATGATCAAAGGTAGAGGCTATGATCAAAGGCTTAAGGATGCTGAAGGATGCCGAAGCCATGTCCCTCTCAGCCCCGCACCAGTGGATCGACGGTATTCCGACACTTCCAGCAAGCCCCCTGGGCCGTTGAGAGGTTCTCCACGGGCCAAGCAACGGAACGCCCAACGCCCACGCGGACGCCCACGCGGACGTGGAGAGTGCGTCACACCCGACGAACCGTCGAGACACTTGTAGATCTTGGCTTCATACAAGAGCTGTGGATGCCTCGTCGAGCAGTTGGGGCTGACCAAATCAGGTCAGACCTAGGGACATCTAGGGACCCTAGGTGAGGAGGTACCACTACCACGTGAAATTCCACAGGTCGATCTGTTCCACAAGCAACTTGACAAAGAAAAGAAGACGGGGAAGCTTTACAAAAGGTTTGCCAGGTGCATTCACCCCGCGTCAATTTGCGGAAGACTCCTTGATCCCCTTCGTCCCTCTCCCTGGCATGGGTTTCTCCTGCTGAGATCAAAAGAAACCTGGGACACTCGGTGTAACCTCTGGGACTCTGACTCTGCTTCTAGCTGTTTGGCTCCCAAGGGAGCCAAAGGACCACTCAAACACCTTCGACTTCAGTCGCGGCCTGGACTTCAGAGGCTCCAGTTTGATGGCCACCTCCTCTCCGGTCCGGAGATTCACACCTGACGAACTCGTTCTAACCGGTTCGGGGCGATTTGATCCACCGGTCCACGCGAACACGGGGCGGATGATGACTCGTGTGGAAACGACCTCGATGGTCCAGGGGGCCGAGCCGAGATGAATGGCGCCAAAGGAGCCAGAGCCGATCTTGCCTCGGGTCGCTTTTGGGGAAGAACAGGCCAGAGCCGCTCGGGAGCGGCGGAGCGACTGCGAGCAGCTACGCATGAGAGAACACAAAGTTTGGGACGCGTCGAACATAACTTGCCGGTGTCCTAGCAGTTTCTATGAGTTTCTATGCTTGTTGTTGGGAGAACTCTGAGAACTCTGAAACCAAGTCAACTGCTGGATCAAGACCCCCCATATATAAATCTGCAAATCAGTGATCATTTCAAGAAAAGCTCGCACGTGAAGCTGGAGATGCACCTAAACCACGATGGTGCCACGATGTCCAGCCCTTCCTAAGGCTCTAAGGGTCGCACTTCCTAAGCGGAACTTCCCTCCGATCGTCACTTCCTCAAGAAAGTCCGCAAAATCCGAAACGACGGGTGCACATCGGCAACCATAGGTCGACACGGTCACACGCGGTTTTGCCACCATAGAGTCAACACAACGGAAGTGGTGGCCACCTCAGGTAATTGCTGTGCAAAAGGGACGGAAACGGACGGAAGTGGTGGCCACCTGGCGAATTGGCATCAAACTCTGCTGGGTGAGAATGGGGCCCCAAAAAGCTCGTGCAGATGAACCGAACCATGTCACCGAGTTTTTTCCGCATGTGCCCGTCCTCGCGGTCATTCGAAGTGGCCTTTGAAGTGCCTTCAAGTTTTGCCTCAAACAAGCATGTGACTGGTCTGTTCAGTCTAAGTCAGTGCCTGAAGGGCGAACGAAACTGCGCCATGTGCCGTGCCGTGACCAAGATCCGAGCCGCCTCCGCCACTTCATTGTTGTCCTGGACCGGGACCTCCATTGCCGTGTTGGGCCTGGAAGGCTTCAAACAGCTCGAAGTCAAGAAATCTCACAGCAATTCATCCAACCGTCAAAGGAAACGCTGCCGGGCGCCTCCAATCAAAGCAACTTCAACATCATCCAACCCCAGAGAACCAAAAAGCCACGGATACATCGAATCATACATGTCCAAGATTCGTCACAACAACAAAGGTAAATAAAGGTGAAAAGCACTACGGCCATGGGTTTAGTTTAGTGAGAGGGTTCTTATGTTTTCTTGGACACGGGGGCTCAATCCAGCATATACAGTAATATACAGTAATATCTACCTCTGACTGCCTTGCCACCACATGCCACGCAACATTAGGCCACAGGACAAAACTCCGCGTTTGAATAACCTCTGCTCCAAGTTTTACTTGCATCCAGCAGCGGACTTTCGGGAGCAAGCCTCCGACCAAAACAAATTGAACACTTGCGGCAAAGCAACACAATTCTGAAAAGGTGTCTTCTTCAAAGCATCATCTTAATTGGTGCCAATCTAAATACTGCCCAAAGCAACCGATGTCCAGACATCGACTCATCGACCCCGGTTCGACTGGTTGGACATGTTTGCTCCTCATCCCCCGAGAGTGGGCTGGGCCGCACAAAGGGTGGTCGTTGTGGCGGCGAGTGTGACAAAAAGAAAAGGAACGCGAGTGGGAACCCCAGGAGGAACGCGAAAACTTCCCTTGCAACTCATGTACACCGTCCAGTGCTTGCACGGTCAGTTCGTGGTGCCGATGTCAGAGCTGATCGGAGGTGCCGAGGACTCCAGGTTCTGTTTGTCCATGTCGCACGAGTTCGGGGGGGTCGGTCCATGGCGCAACACGGTCAGCGCTTGTTTTCACCTGAGAGAGCTGTGAGGCGTCGGTAGTGTCCGTTTTCAGGCGGTCGGTCTTCCCAAATTGGAAGGAGCACAGTCAAATACAGCATACAAAGTGTTGCTTTTCCAACCTCTCTCACAATCAAAGGACTACTGAATATACTGGCTGTTTGCTGCTGGTTGAAGTCTACACCCAGACTCCAGCAACGAAAGATATGGCCTGAAATTGTTTGTCCTCCCTCCCACAATCTCCAAGAGTCACAGGTGCATCGTCTGCGAAAATATATCGTCTAAGTAGGGTATATCCCGTTACCAGGTCCTGGTGGATGATGATTGGTAAAGTCCTCTCTCAAAAATAGTGATTGTCTTTTACCGACTGTTATTGGTAATGGGCTACACGGTTACACCCTACGTCTAAGTCTAAATCCTACCCTGGACCCTCCAAGATGAGAGTTCTGCGGACCCTGAAGTTTCAGGGTGGTTTCTGGGCACAGAAGTGGTCACCAGGAAAGAGCCATGAAGAAACAGCGTGCAAAAAAACTGCCAAGCAAAACCATCTCAAGCAAAACAATCTATGATGTACCCCCAAAGGAAGCCGATCTTAACGGACTTCTGCCTGTCCGGCCTGATGTCCGTCCTAACAGTGGCGTCGAGTGAAGTGACCAAGTAGAGGCTTCGCTTGGTGCACAAGGCACTCAACTACTGCGTTCAGCAGTTCGGCCGCACTAGCCCATTCGGCGGAGTCGGAGCCCATTGAGGGTTCATCAAGAAATACCAAATACATCCAAATACCTGCTTCTGAATTGGAAGACATTGAAACAATGGTGTCCTCTGACTCTCCAATGAGTTGTCATACAACGAGCGGTTCGCGTTGTTGATTGACGCACGTGACATGGGACGTGCTGGACATCCCAGGATATGTTGTCTGTTTGTCTATACATGAATACAGTATACAGGTGAACATATCAAATAAATAGGGGAGTACATCTTCCATCAAACACAACGAAACCATGCCTGTTTGAACTGAGGCGACTTCCTTCCCTGCTTCCAGTTCTGAACAGAACTAGCAGCTTAGACTTAGACGAAGTCATGAAGCATATCAGTTGCACTCAAGATATGCTCTTGACCGCTTAAGACTGGGTGCAATGGCCCCATAAATGAAGTCGACATGGACTCGAGACAGGTGAAAACGAGGATACGAGGGCAAACCGCTCGTTCATTGTCTTTAACTAAATATCATGAGAAAAAAGTGCACAGAGCTTTCAGTCTTGAACCCCCAAACACCTCAAACATTGAACTTCAACGCTCGTTCGATGTTCTGCCACTGCCGCCACTGCCGCCATGAGATAGGATACGGCCGCTGTGCAGCACAACCATCTTCAAATCGACATGGTTGGGTTATGTTTCAGCTTTCACGGGGAACAAGGATTGGGTCAGCCTCATGTGTGCACAAGCAATTCTCTACAGCCCACAAAGTGTTGGCCATGTTGTCGCGTGGTTCCAATATTGAACACACAAGTAGAAGAAGAACCATAGTTCTTGTCTGGTACCCAAACAAAGCATGATTCTGGGCTCAAATGACTTGTCAATCATCCCAACCCTCTCTTTCCCCAAAGCTGAAAATTGATATGTGCAAATTAAGTAGTGCCCTCGGCAGGAACTACTTAGGGCCTTTCCGCCCCTCTGGATTCGCACGTTCGCCGACACGGTGTGCCAGAGAAAACGCAGTGAAGGTCCGTGTCCATAGCAATTCATTGCCTATGTGGGTTTAGTGAGCTTGTGTCTTCAATGTCACAAGTTTGCCTGTGTTAGGCAGCATCCGGAGGTGCTTTTGTTGAGGGACAAACCTTTAGAACAGTCATGAGGCTCAAAAAGAAAACCAAAGAAAAAGCAAGAACAAGAAGCTACTAGGAGCAAAGGGCATCGCTACTAGGAGCAAGGACGCTACTAGGGGCTCCTGGCCTTACTACTAGGAACAAGAAGCTACTAGGAGCAAGAAAAAGAAACCCAAGAAGCACTCCACATGGGCGCAGGCTTGGTGTATGTCTTGCTCCACTCATGAACGGCCGAGGTGTGCAGTACTGGCGCCTTGGTCATCTTTGATCCATACACAACCGAAGGAGACCCAGGATCTCGCGAAAGATTCTCCAATGACTGCAGCCATGACTCATGACAGTTCACACCGACAGGCCGCCTACAGTATTTAACAGATAAGCACTCCAAGCTGCGATGGCCTTCAACATCCTTCAACTACAACACCCTTGCGAAGTTCAAACCAAATCGAGGCAGGTATATCTAAGTCTTGGATGTTTTCAGATGAATCCATGATGAAACTTGGCGTCATCTGGCTACATAGCAGGAAGCCTTTGTTTGGGGAGTCAGCAACTGAGCATAGCAAATGGCTGTGTGTGTTGACTTCGTTGTAATCCTGTCTCGGCTCGCGCACGTCCTCGTGAGGGCCGAGCCGATGTCCGACGTGGCGCTTGTGGCGCCGTGGAGTGCACTGGCGACATTGACATGAGATGAGATGACGATAGCAAGCCATGCTGGAGAGAAAAATCTTCATATAGTTCTGGTACTGCTTGATTCCTTTATCATCTGCATGCCATGCCAACATCACCAGTTAGCTAGAAGAGATGGCCCTTTTCAAGAAAGGACAGTTCACTGCACTACCCGGGCATTCGGAGCACGCGTTCACTGTTGAGTGCATCAAGAAGAGTTGAAAGCTTACAGCATGAACCGTCTGAGTTGGCACACACGAATGAACTTCACGCCCAATGTGACCAGTCAAGCATCAGCCTCATCTCCCATCAATTGCAGTGGAGGACGCGACTGCAAAGAAAGAGGTGGAGCAGCAGAAGATATGACGAATACCCTAGCCTTCCAAGGCCATTTAAAAACTTGGTTGACCTAATTGTAGTTCAAACCCTTGGGCCTTTGGAAAACAATGTGTGTTCGGTAAGAACCATCACATCCATGGTGGCATATGTGTTCATATATATGGGCCATAGGATCTGGTGCGTAACTTGAAGAAAGACGCAGTACAAACCCCTACCCGACCGGCGACCGGCGACCGGACCGTTGGCTGGTCACCGGCCGAAGGTTGGGAACCCATCGAACAAGGCCATGGAACTCGCAGCCCCGCCCAAGCGTGCGCTCCTTTGCAAACAAAGGATTTCACGATAAGAAACGATTTCACCATGATTCTTGGACCTCAGAGGTCCAAGAATCCTGCAGCGTCAGGCAGCCGATTCTTTCCTCCACCTGAGGCGGTGAATCCCCAGGGCACCGGCCAGGCAGTTGGACCATGAAAGTCGCGTTTGCGTGAGGGTCATCCGGAGCAGCTCGTGTGGGGAATGACAAACCCAAGTTCTGATGTGGACACAAACATTGAAGTCGTATCAAGTGAGTTGTCTCCTTTGGGTTTACTGGAAAAGCTACTGAGAAAGTTTGAGGCGCATGTTTCAAAAAAGGCCAGGAATTGAGCGGAAAGTGCAAGAGCCCCCGTCGGTTTCTTTTTCCACCAGGAACGAGTAGATCTATCACCTCCATTGAAAAGTTGACTCCGGACGTACGGAGAGGATTCACTTGCTTCATGCTGCAAAATGTCGCCCACCACACGGTTGGATGCGGGCCTATACTTTGATTTGTTCGATTTGTCGTTCCAGTGCGACAGTGTTCTTTAGCCGGTTTGTCCTGTTTAGCCGGTTTTATGCACGCAAGTCAGCTCAGGTGAGTGGCTTCTCTAGACAGTTGCCCCTTCTGGGCGGTTCAACAACAGTAATGCCTCGGATACATGCGCAAGGCCAACACAGCACTGTGCCCCGTGCCCACTGGCCGAGGAAGGGAACGTCCAGACACCCCTACCATGCTCTTACGAGTCAAATGAAAGGCCTTTCTTCCCTTTGGTCTTCAGTAGAGGTGGGCGTGACAAGTAATTTGAGGGAGGAACTCGTGTATATATAAATACTTGGAACTCAAACGTGTTGCTTCTCGTACGCCTACTAACATGGACTCTGAAAATGGGCTCCTCGAAAACGCTTTTCCGACCCAGTGGTTTTCAGGCTCGATTAATCAGGAGGAGGGCATCTTGGAAAGCATCCATATACCGAAATCACAACTCTGGCACATGGTGGTTTGCCACAAGCCCTGCATATGTCCTCAGGGTGTTGCCTTAAGAACCCCTGCTTTGGGCTGCACGTTTTCGCCCATGCTCTCGCAAGCGGCCATCCCGTTTGTCCCTCGGGCCGTTCAAAACTGGATCACATTCACAACTATCCATGGGCACATGCCCCGAAGTTTTTGGTCATAAAGATGACAAGGGAGTTGACTGACCAGCTTCTTGCCAATGCAGTTGACGCCATACTGGACCAATTATTCAAGAGATGTCATATACTATGACATGGTTGGTATGACTCGGGCCTTGGACTTTCCAACGTCGGGACTGAATCCTGTAGCCGCCCATAAACGTGCCGAGACACAATTTTTTGCAGGCTCTCAAAGCGCTGCTTGGTGGACCGAGGGAACTGTGGCTGATTGGGGGTCGGCCTGCCGGTGTTTTGATCGAAGACAAAACCGTCCATGTTCTCTGATGTGGGAGGTCTTCGATCAAAGCTGCCATAGTGGAAGATTTAGGGAATACGGTCAAAGAAAAAAATCGTTGATTCACATTCCTTTTCCCCAATGGCCTGGCTGTGTGGCACCTCATCCAACAGCCCAACTGCACGTGCTGCTGGCGGCGCCCTCGGCCGGAAGTGATCGGGAAGGCGACCAATCACCAGCACAGCCGCTGCTTGGCTTTGGGCTGCCTCGTGGATGCGAACCTGTGCACAAACCACAGAAAGACTGTCAGGAAGAAGAAGAAGAAGAAGAAAGGTGATGAATTGCAGTCTTGATGGGGGCTGAGATGGGGTGTCATCTTGGATTGAGTACGGCCGCTTCAAGAGCCGTGCACCCATATCGAAAGAGGGACGCACCCCTGACCAGCAGGGTTACCTTGGTAATTATGATGGTGATGTTCTGGTGGAAACCACGAGTTGATGATTTTGGGGGATTCCCCACAATGGCTCAGGTGCAAGGGCCTGCGACCGTCACAGCCACTACCTGGGAAAAAGAAAGTCTGCGCCATGCCTGCACCACTTCAATCGGCTTCACATTTACATCGGTGACCTGCTCGATGCTCTCGACGTTCACCTCCGCGACGCGTCGACGTTCAGAGCGCCGCCCTCCTTTCGACTGGGTCCCGTTCGCCCTCCACGGCGGCCACACCGAACGGCCAACGCGGAAGCCTGTCGCCGCGGCTCAGTCTCCACCTCTCGAGTGGCCGTGTGGGTGGTGCTTTCCAGCGGGGGCACTTTGACCACCTTCTCCACCACCTGCGCTTGAGGGAAAGGGTTTGGGGCCAGAAACTGACGGTTTCCAGATGTGTGAATTTTATACGTTGGAAAGCAAAAAGAGTCAACAGGACAAGCAAAGGACATGGATATGAGATGTCTCAGCTTCTTTATGTCATCTTCTATCGATGGTGACGTTGTATTCAAATCGTTGTGACAACTATTTGGGCCACCACTATAGGCAGTTCTGAGCACGTGTGAATTCAGCTTGCACAAATCCCCAAGATCTTCATTACAACTCAACCAAACGGTCTTCCGGAGGGTTGGTGTTCTTGACAAGCTTGGTTTGACTGTGGCGCGTGGTGGTGTGCTGGCCCTCGCAGCTCACTAGGGTGGATAGCTTTTTGCGAGGACAGTTTCATAGATCCCCGTTGAGGTCTAACATTGATCTTGTGAGCTAGGATGCGTTTGATTCTGAGGTGAAGGGATGGTTCGAAGGGATTCTGTGAGATTGTGTGGCGTAGATGATCGCAAGCTCCAGTGCTCAACATGAGCTGTAGCTTGGACAGATTCGCAAGTCGCGCTACAACTCAACCAAACCGACAACTAACCAACTGGCTAGCTAGCTAACCAACTAACTAGCTACATAACTATATAACTTATAACTGTTTTGGGGCGGCGCAGGGCTTTTGCTCCATGACGGACTCCTTGACTGTCCCGGACAGTCACAGCTGGTCAGAACTGGTGAACCAGCCTGGCCTGACGGCGTTGGTGCTTTTCCACCTGCACACGATGTCAACTGCGGTTGGCAGGGTTGGAAGTAGGAGACCTTAGGATGGTGGACGTGGAGATTAGCTGTTTGTAAACTAACCATGGAGCGACACTTCGATCCTAGGGAAATGATAGGGCTTTTGCAACCTCTGCCTTTGACAATATCAGACAGGGGACGAAGGGCGGTGTCATTTCTCGCCTAGCTTCGAGGGTGCACATTGATGACATTAGTTACAACTATTTGGGGTCCTCTTGGTCAACCACTGGCGCAGTTAAACCCTGGATTGCTGCCCTCGCCTGCGCAAGCAAGTGGTCTAAGTCGACAAGGTCCACCATTTCCTTGAACTCATCATCGCTGACGCGGATCTTTCGCCCTTTAAGGCAACTCTCGAATGAGGTCACGAGAAGATCAAGCTCCTGACGCGTTGAGACACAATCAAGATCATCAAGGGCTCAAGTTTTTTCGAACCAGGGTTTTCTGATAAAAGTTGAATCACTTTCATTCCGGCCAATAACCCCTAGAATCCAGGAATAACTTCCTTTTTGCTCGAGGAGGGTGTTCACGATTTCCAGAGGAAAAGGCTTACACTGGAGAATGAAGGGTTGTCGGTGTCACTTCATGAAGCTAAACATCGGCAGGTTCACATGGAACTGGTCTTCCTGTCTTTGTTTGACCAACCGAATTGAACCAAGAAGTCAAGACAGTTCTTCTTTGTTTGTCCAGAAAGCCAGTCCTCTTTGAGCCAGGCGAGGGAGTCGACCAAGGCATCTACTTGCAACTTAATGCATTGGAGCTGCCCATAATTCTTCATGCTCTCGGTCAAGAGCAGGTCGGTGGAGACCTCCACCATCTCAACCAACTGGTCGACCAGGAGTTCCGTCTTCGTATCATCGATTCCCTCAAACAAGTCGACCATCTTGGGGATGAGAACATAGAGCTCCTCCATCTTCTTTTTCAACAACTCCTCTGCTCGGCACCTGAGGCCCAAAAAAAGTGGCACCCAACACGTTTAAAGGACGGCACTCATGGGACCATGCACACATGGTGCGCTTGTGTTGTTTGCCATACCTTGTCAACCATGCTGGATCTTATGAACAGCGGAGAAGAATGATGACGATGGTGATGATGACGACGACGACGATGACGACGACGACGACGATGATGATGGTGGTGATGGTGCTGGTGATGCTGGTGCTGCTGCTAGTGCTGCTGCTGCTGCTGCTGGTGGTGGTGGTGGTGGTGGCGGCGGTGGTGATGGTGGTGATAGTGGTGATGGAAATGATGATGAGGAGGAGAGAAGGGAGCAAGGACAATGATGAATCATGCAGACCATCAGGACGATGTCGGCGATTGGCAAAATGAGCGGACCTTCTCATCAAAGAAATGTATAAGCAAATTATTGCAAACGTGTCCTATCCGTTGCTGTAAATGGGACGGACCCAACAATATCAGTGCTTGTCAAACAATATTGACTAGAGGTGGCATTGGTGTTTTCATCACATGTTCCTTTGTCTCCGGTGTCATCCATTCTGGAAACGATGCATGCTCAAGAGCTCTAGGAATGCACCGTACACATTGACGCAGCAAGCAGCTCTGCACCACGTGGTTTCTTGGACCATCAAGTGACCCCGAATTGATACCAAACCCATTGCAGGCTCTGGGGCTAGCAGGGTTTTGTTAGAGTTTCCCAAGTGCTTGGAGGCTGGTGCAATGGGGCAGAGGGAGTGGGCACGAGCCACCGTTGATCTCCTGATTGACAAAGCGACTGGAAGTTGGGCAGGCTCTTTCGATGGCGGTGGCCCCGGACCTGATCGCCGTCCTGACCGCTTGGGCATTCTCAAGGACTGATAAGAAAGCACAAGGCGAATCAGACTGGACCTGCCAAGGCTATGTACCAAGCAAAGTGCGACAGACCACTGTATATGCAGTGTCATCCTGAAGTATTATAATGAATATTGATGTGGACACTCAAATTGCTGCAATTTAGCCTGTGCCAAACGACTCAACCCCTTGCCTACTGGATCCCAAAAGCAACTTCTGTTGCACAAAATTTGCTCGCGAACGAGACAAAAGGTGTTTCCTAAGTACCTTTAGGGGTGGCGGGGTGGCCCCAAAGCCCAAATGTAAAGGTGCAACGGCCCATAAACAAAGAGGTACAATTACAATACAGAATGTCCCACAGACCCTGCTGCAGTCATCCTAGTTGTTTCGTGCTGATCTACTGGATCTACTTGCTCTGGCAAGCCAAGGTCATGTCCTTGTGCGTCTTCGCTGGCGAGTCTTTGCTCACGTGATCATCCTGAAGAGGCAGTGAGGCAGGAACCACTTTGCGACATCCGACATCCGCTTGAGGAGTTTCGGAGTTGAAGTTATGGAACTATCTGGTATACCCAGTTGACCCCAGAGATCTTGTGGCTTCTCCAAGTCAACTTGAAGGGGTTAAAGTCATGGTCAGAGTTCAGCTGAATGGTAAAATCCGTGCAAAAATACATTCAGGGGCTTCCTACCAATGGGAAGCAATGCTAAGCAATCCAGTGCATGCTGACAAACTCATCTTATTGTGCGCCTTGTACTGGCTGATTCATAAAGGCTCTACAAGAACAGCTAGACTAGGCTGATAGACTGGACGTTCCAACATGGCTCACCAATGCAATTCTGAGAGGACCCCTGCAAATGCAGTATTTAAAGATTCAGTTATATAACTAAACCTTCTTTGGTGGTTCGTCCAAACGATTGCGGTTTGGCAAGGTTCCAAGACCCATGAACATCTGTGTTGCGCCAGAACAATGATAGTTCTCACCGCATACACTTGTGTCAGGCAAGCCTGCAAGAAACACACAGGTCCTTTGAAGAGTTCCCTTCCGTGGTGATCTTAGCTGCCCGATTTCAGGTTCTATGTTTGGCCGTCCTTGTAGCTTGTGCTTGCAGCGCTTGCAACGCTTGCAGCGCTTGCAAAGCGTCCGGCAGCCTCCGGATACGAAACAAACAAACAAGCAAACAAACAAATCAAGACCAAGAACTCTCGTGACTATGCATAATCCAATTTCCAGCTAGGATCCGTTTTGGTCGGCAAAGCCCCACGTGTAGATGAAAGACTGTGCTGAGGTTTGGAAGAAAGTACCGCTTGAGGCTTAATCTTGCAGCAGGGTCGGGGACCTAGTTTTGATCCACTGCACCTTTCAGGTCAGAGCCAGCCTTCGTCGATTGATCTGTCATGCTCCTGGCCAAGGAGAGTTGATCAACTTTGCCGCCGCCCATTCGGGCTGCAGCCAAAACTCAGCAGAAGCCAAACGAACTCCGCTCATCTGTCAAGGAATTAATTTGACCAACCCGGCCGGTCTTCAAGGACAACACGAACCAAATCAGTGGAATGGCACCCCCCGTGAGTGGCTGGTAGGACTCAGCAAAAATGAGAATGAGACGTTTAGTATATGGGCTTCTCAGGATCCTCAGGTCAATTCCCTCTACAAAAACAAAAAGATGAACCTTTGACCATGGGTCAAAGACAAAAGTGTGTTTTTTCTACATTGCCTATCGTTCCATGTCGAAACAACAGCCGTGATGCACGCACTCGAAAAACTAGGTTGATTGGTGTCTTGTAATTAGGAATTAAGTATGTATGACCGGTTGCCGCGGCCATCCCTCAAAGGCATATGTGACAAACGGTGTCCAGCACATCATAAAGGTAAAAGGTACAAATACAAAAGGTTCCAACCATGTCCAGGCCTATTTCCAAGAGGGTCGGAGGCTTACTTTTCGATCACGAGAAGCCCGGAGATCTTTTGAGGTTTAGTTTGTCATGTGAACATTCACCCTTGACCCTATTAGTATAGTGCTTCTTGATGATTTTCGTAGGTCAACATTGTTGGGTGCTCCCAAAGATAATTTTTGAATAATGATATGTAGGAGTATTACAATTTACGGTAAGCTTGTCCTTGTACCATGGCTTGAACATAGCTCAGTGGCTGGCTATAGCATAGGCTTCAGGCCACTGCTGAAAAAATAATCAATCCAGGTAAGATTTGGATTCGGATTCCATTGTCCCCTAATTCAAGTGGTTTTGAGGAGGCTCCGAAGCAGTTGCAGAGGGAACTGGTCTGATGATTTCATTGTAGTATGCAGCTGGGTTGGACAAGCACCAACTGTTGCCGTTCACTCACGAGCCGCACGACAGAAAGAAGTGAACAAAGCCAATGTCGCTAAATGAGGAATGAGATGAAACACTCCGCATACATGTTTACAGTTATGCACTCCCTCACATCCCAACATAGCATCCTCCACTAATTAAGTGCTTTTTGCATGATGGATCCCTTTACCTGATCTTTGCTAGCTGCTATTTATGTCTGGGTGGGCCTTTTTCTGCTTCAAGATATTTCAAGGTCCCCTCTTTCAGATTCCTTCACCCACCCCAATACAGGCCTCAGCCGCGATGGAAGAAGGCAAAAAAAAAAAAACTAAAGCTATGGAGGCTCAATGAAAAGCCACTAAATACATTGGCTGGAACCAACGGCACGGCGTTCGGACGCAGTTGCAGGAGTTGGATGAAGCAATGCACAGGCAGTCAAAAAGAAAAATGTATATATATATATATATTTTTTTTATATAACAATCTATAACTGTAATGTATATATATATATAATCCCACCGTTGAGTTTGGAGTTGATCTTACAGAAGGGGTGATTAAATCTTTTAAGGCTTTAGCAGTTTCTTGAGTGAAGCAAAGGCAAAAGTATGCAATCCTGTAGCATATCACAACTTCTCGGCGCTCCTGGCTCAATGTCCACCCAAAAAAGAGCCCTGCAGCTTGGATCACTTTGACCATCCTTCATGGCTGCCAAGTTGTAGTTGGAAGTGCAATAGGGTGCCAAAAGACTAAAGATCCACCCCGCACCAGCCTCTGTTGTAGATCCTCCAAGAACAACACTGGTCATGAAAAACGAATGTGTCAGTTGCAGACACCTGAAACCGGTGTCACGATGTCAGGATCAATTGATATTCTCAACTCTTCGCCAGTCACCAGCATGGCAGGAATCCCTTGGGCTGGACCAAAATATTCTAATCTTGGAAGGGGTTCGGCCCGGTTTTAGGAGGACCGCACTTTGTTCAAGCGCATCTTTCGGGAAGAAAAAACACCAACTCACTCACGGCGGTTGCTTGTGTCACTGTCGCACATGGCACATGGGATAAAAAAAGATGAGAAGAACTCACTGCAGCGACGTTCACGTTTGCTCCATGTTCACCCCAATGCACCCCAGCGACCTGTCTTCAACCTCTTCGACAAGCTGCAGACTCGCATGGCGCAGTGTTTTCCCAGCCTGCAACTGCTCTATCTCTCTCGAATTTGCCCGCCTTCACAGCTACCAAGCTCTACCATAGCGTCGCACCTCTTGCGGCCCAACATGAGCGCAGTCACGGTCGACCACTGGTCGTTTCTGGGGTAGCTGCAATTCCGGGGTGGTCTTTGTCACGCAAAGCGTGCTTCATCTTCAAAGACTGTTCCAGGTACTGCAGCGCTTGTTGGAAGTCTCCTGATTTTCAACTGACATTGCCCAGCTCATGCAATGTGTCTGCAATGCCGGGGTTGTCTTTGTCATCCAACAAAGCATCCCTCGTCTCCAAAGACTGTTCCAAGTAGTGCCGTGCCTGCTGGAAATCTCTTGCTTGTCGACTGACATTGCCAAGCTCATGCTGCAATGCCAGGGTGGTCTTCGTCGCCGTGGAAAGCATGATTCATCTCCAAAGACTGTTCCAAGTACTGCCGTGCTTATTGGAAGTCTCCGGTTTGTTGACTGGCACTGCCAAGCATATGCAATGTGGCTGCAATGCCAGGGTGGCCTTTGTGGTCGTGCAAAGCATGCATCATCTTCAAAGACTGTTCCAGGTACTGTCTTGCTTGTTGGAAGTCTCCTGTTTCTCGACTGACATTGCCAAGCTTGTGCAATGTGAAGGTCCCCTTGGTGTAGCAACTGGAGCTGGAACTCCGAATGCTGTGTTTCTTCAGGAGTTCCCCTGCTGCTTCTGAATCTGGCAAACCCACATCTATGTGGCGCTCAGCACAATGATTTTGCCCTTGCAGCGATGTGCAAGGGGGTTCTGGGACAGGCAGGTGCTCTAAATGGTGAGATTGATTTGAATCAAGATTTTGGACGGTAGCTGCTCCAAGCGATCTTTGGCAAACCCGTCTCTTGCTGCCCTGCCTCGACCTGAAGAAGAAGAAGAAACAAGAACAAAAATACATGTCTCTTGAATGGTAACATATGGTAGAATCAATCGGCGATGTAGCGGCAAGGTACTGCGCATAGAATCAGGAGTCTTGAAGAAAAACAACTGAAGGGGCTAAAGGCTAAAGGGTTTGATGCGTTCCCATTCAATCCACCTAAGAGAATTGAAATGCTTCACTCATGGAACCACTAAAACATCTTCACAACACCCCACCTCCGGGATCTCCTCGAAAAGTCGCTCCTCCATTTGCTTTCCCTCACACAAGTAGCGCTCTCCTTCTTCACTAGTGGCCGCAAGAAACTTCGCTCCTCCATGCGCCTGCATCGTCGACCCGACGACCTTCAGCATTCGCGCTGTCTCCGGGTGATCCTGCGATGCGATCGAGCCACCCTGCGGTCCATGCAAGCGGCAAACCATTTGCAGTGATTCCTCGGCTGTTTCCCGCGTCGGCGTTGTCTTGGCTTTGAGAACGAACTGGAATGTATGCCGACCGAACTGGAGTGGGCTCGCCACCCGGCGGTGTGCATATGGTGTTCGAGCAAGGGGGTGACCTGCGGTGCCTAATCCCATTTCTTGGGCCCCAGATCGTCGACTTGGCCTGGCTACAGCTTGAATCAGGGAATTGGGGTTCAGACACCCACCAGGATAGTGATTGGTTTGTTGCTGAAGGGATGCCAATGCCAGACCAAGACAATATGTATACATACATTATGTATGTGTATATATATATACATATACATATATATATATGTGTTTTTGATATGTTGGCAAATACTAAACTAGGGGAACCATGAGCTGTCTCAGTCACGTTTCCAGCATGCAATCCCGTCATTAAAAGAAGGAGCCTGGCTTCAGACGAGAGTCTCTGATGTAGCTGAGGCCTTCTTCCGTTCGATCTAGTTCTTCCAGCTTCATTGATCCAAGCAAAAAAAGTGTCTCTGCAAGATCTCTGTGGTCTTCCTTGTGCAGTCGGCGTTCCATTTGCAGGGCATCATCCAAAGACTTTTCGCCTTCAAGAAGCTGCCCAGTCTGAATCTGGCATGCGCCAATACGGCACCTTACTTTCTTCAACAAAGAATCACTACTCTGGACTGGAGCTTCAAACCCAACCTTATCCCTAACCGACAGAGCTCAGTTTTAAGTAAAAAGGTCTATTGAAGCACAGAGAAAAGCAGCAAGGAGTCCACAATGCAATCGCGATCGCCGAACAAGCGCCGCTTCATTTGCAAGGACTCTTCTAAATAGACCACCCCCTCACGCTCAGCATCTTCATCTCCATGATCAATCATCTCGGAACCCAAATCATCCAACAACCCTGCCAGGTCTGGATGATCTTGGTTTGAATGAAGCTGCCTCTCCCAGTGTAACAGCTCCTTTAGGCACTTCAGAGCTTCACTCATGAGCCGATCTGGAGAGCTCAAACGGATCGCGGCGACCGGCGCCGGCTCGCGCGACCGCGGCGCTTCGCTCGTCGTGGCACGGCCATGGCGTTGACAGATCTCTAAAGACTCGGTCAGCTTCGGTAGAGCTGCCTCAACATCGTAACTCTCCAACAGCGTGATGCCCATCAAACGTAATGTCAACGCAATGTCAACGCGAAGGTCAAGTCCTTGAGCTTCCAAGCGCAGCTCCATTTCCATAGCCTCATTGAGATATCTGAGGGCTTCCTCGTACTGTCCAACCTTTCTGTAACTCGAGCCCAGCAAACGCAAGGTCTCAGCAATAGTTTGGTGATCTCCCTGATTGTGCAAACGCCTGTCCATCAGTAAGGCGTCTTCCAAGTGTCGTTGGGCCTCTTCCTGTTCTCCGTCCTCCATCTTCTGCCTGCCAATCAAGCGCTGCGTTTCAGCGATGGCAGGGTGATCTCCATCGCGCAAGTTTCGCTCAATGTCAAGAGACTCCTCAAGAGAGCTCAAAGCTTCTTCGAAGTTCCCAGACCACATGTTTTCCTGGCCGTGCAAGCGCAGCGCTGCGGCCACTTCCGGGTGAAGAAGATCCTCCCTCCGCAAGACATCCTTGGATGCTTCGGCTTCCACTGCAAAGGCTCGGTTCGGCGTGGGCGGACGGCTCAGGGACATGGAAGTGGGCCAGGAACAGGCAGGGCTGCGCCCATGTGTGAAGGCAGTCGGCTGTGTAAAGGGAGCACTGGATCCTTCCTCCGATTCATAGACCTCAGGTGATGGACCTGGTGGGTTTAAGGTCAAGGGAACATTTGGAATCAGCAGCTACACCCGCACAACATCTCCCAGAGTGTGTCTGCTGAGCGATGTGAACAAAAAAACATGTGATTGACAGTGCAGTTTCCCTTTTCATTCCTTTTCCAGCAACAGGTACTGGGTGAACCCTTCAACTCAATCACGCGTGACCTGCCGATTGATTCGGCATGAGTCCGGGTCCTTTCCCCACGAAAAAGTCGATCCAACATGGGGTCCATAGTGTCGATGTGTCCTTCCAAAAGGCGAAGAAAAGCACGTGAGGACAACTACCACCTGTTGCAATGTCAGGAAAAGCTGAATGGTAATATCAGTATAGTTGCAGCAAAGTGCTTGAATTCACCAATAGTCCAAAATCCTTTTCTGCCAATGCAGTGGTACTTCCTGCAGTACAAATTGTTGGGCACCTTCTCAATTCCCACCAAGACACACCCAGAAATCCTGCTTTCACCACCTCACCACCGGCCCCAAGCACCTCTCACCTCAAATCCCAAATCCAAGTCACCAAACGTGCATCCACCAAGGGAAACAACATGTCCTCGATTCGCCGTGTCAACCGGACGATCCACGCCGCAGAGGACACCGTCGCCGCAGAAGTGTCCACCCTGGCTCCGTCGGTCGTGGAGGCCGCGTTGAAGATCTGCTGGACGACGGCCTCGCGCGCCAGGCGTTCCTGAAGATGGCGGGATAGGCCGTTTACCCCCCAACGGTTTCTGTGGGACTGGAGGGTTTCTGAAGTCGTGGAGGCCAGTAGGTGGGTCTCTGAGGTCTTTCAGCTTGGACCTCCCAGGAGATGGAAGGCGTTTCTTGTGGAGCCCAGGCGGCCCGCATTTTGGAGGTGAGAAACTCGGGAGACACAAGCTCATTGAAAACAGGTACGATTTCTGAAGATGGTTTTCTCCAGACGCAGGTGCTTGAGGGAGAATTCCCCAAATGAAAAATCCATGTTGAAAACAAAGAAAAAACTCTCCAAGGCCTTGGGTTGCTGCAATGTGACCTGCTGGGTCGACTTTCCTGCTATTGGCGTCGGATGCAAGTTGGACACAAATGGACGTTGCTGTGTCTTGATGGCTCGTTCGTGTTCATGTAACGAGTCTTGGTACCTTGTGCTGGAAGACATGGGTTTAGACGCCTCCAAGACTTCAGGGTTGGAACGGGTAGTCCTCCAGTCTGCCCAGTTCAACGAGGTTGGTTCCCCAGATTAGATTAGGTTACGTTAGATTAGATTGATTGATTGATTGATTGATTGATTGGTAGGTAGGTAGGTAGATAGATAGAGAGATGGATAGGTAGATAGAAGGATAGATAGATAGATAGACAGATAGAACGCTAGATAGAACGCTAGATAGATAGATAGATAGATAGATAGATATTGCAGTTTGCTTCATGCTCCGTCGAAGTCGGAACCTATGTGGGCGTTCAGGAAGGTATCCTGTCATCATTCTGATGCTAGCACCGGAGTGCGCTCGATATGGCACTTGGAAAGAGTGACGTTGAAATTGAACATTCGGCAGCGTGTCAAAAGCCTTGGTGGCAACAGTGCTGCACATCGGAGAATGAAATCAGTCTGATCACCTGATGGCGGGTCAGCACAGGAGGAAGCTCGAATCCAGCTCGTCTTCAAGGGAGACAGAGCAGGAAAAACATGGTCATACAGTGTGCTGGTGCCATCATGGCATACGGCAAAACAAAGGAGTAAGGCATGACATGTGTTCCAACAGGTCATGCCAAATCACGCAGCGACGAGTGGTGACTCAAGTCAATTTGCGTCTCTCAGTCTCAGCAGCTCAGCGCATCGGCAGGGCAGCTGGGCTAAGCTCATAGGTTGCCAAGGTGGCTAGTGCCCGCCTTCAACACCATCAAAGCGCTGCAGGAAGGAGGCGAGGTCAGGCTCACAAGGCTGCTGCAACTCATCAGCAGGATGCTTTGGTACCTGGAAGATGGTGCTTCTTGGCGCGAGCTCTCGTCGATGATGCTCCAAGCCAAGGCACAGGAGGACAAGAAGAGGACAACAAAAGGACAAGGACTAGTAGACGGAGTGGCAGCGTGCCAAGCTGGAAGAAGGACAAGAATAGGACAACAGGTGGACAAGAAAAGGACAACAAAACGACAACAGGCGGACACGGGCTTACCAGCGGCCAAGCTGGGCACCAGAGGAGAACAAGAGGATAAGCCTGCATCTTTTGCATCCCAATCCTCTGGCAGAAAGAAACTACCTTACTTCCAGGGATCCCCACCATGACATTTCAAGCTGACAAGTTTTCTGGCGTGTAACTGTATTGAAACATTATTTCAGCATTTTTTCTGGCATATCTTCTGATATTTTTTCTTGCATTTTTCTGGCATATCTTTTGACTTTCTGGCATATCTTCTGACATTCTTTCATCTGACATTCTTTCTGACATTATCTCCGGCTTATCTTCTGGCACGCTTTCTGGCATATCTTCTGACATTCTTTCTGGCGTTCTATCTGGCATATCTTCTGACTCACAGTTGAGCTCCGGTGGAGAACACTGCCAGACGCAGCTCGCGCTTGAGGTCCGGCGGGGAACACTGAAAGATATGCAGAAGATATGCCAGACAGAATGGCAGAACGAAGGTCAAAAGATATGCCAAAAAGATATGCCAGAAAGAATGTCAGAGGATATGCCAGATGGAATGCCAGAGTGAATGTCAGAAGAATGTCGGCAGGTATGCCACTTAGAACGCCAGAGTTAAATCTTTTTCAAGATATGCCAGATAGAGTGCTGTTAGATTTTAAGTGAGCCGCCGTCGTCCTCTGTTCCCACAACCGCCAGCTCCGGGTGGCAGTGTTCCCTGCCAGACATCAACCGCTAGCTTTGGATGGCAGTGTTCCCCGCTGGACCTCAACGGATGGCAGTGTTGCTGCACAGACCTCAACCACCAGCTCCGGATGTCAGTGCTCCCGCCGGACCTCAACCGCGAGCTTGGGCTGACAGTGTTCCCTGCCGGACCTTAACCGTCGCCACGAGCTTCGGCGGGCAGTGCCCCCGCTGGACCTCAACTGCGAGCTTGGGGAATAACACCAATCCTCCAGCTAACAAAGCAGTCACTTCTTCTGCCTCTGGACCGCAGCCTTGGACTCATAAGCTACTTTGAGCGACGTTTTGGGCACTGTAAAGACAATGGCCGGCCTTTGTATCCTACGGCAAGACACGTCATTTGCTTGCTGACGATCAAAACCCTCCGTATTTATAGTGTTTCTGACCTCTATGTCTATGTACTCGGTGACCCTTCTGGGGGGTTCGGCCTGTCATGAAGCGGTGGGCAACATGTCCAACAACTACGGGTAGCGGGTAGTTTCCTGAACATCTTTCCTAGCACAGAAAAGGCTCGATTTCTTCAAACCCATCTTGCGCAGTTTGGATCCACTCTGTATCCTCATCCGCACTGCTCGGGAAGCTATCGCCAAGTCTTCTGCGAATGCGCTTGGCGCGTCGCCTGATGTCCTGATCGGGAGGACTTGATACAATACTGTCAAACCGCGCACCAAACAAAAATGATCTGTAAAAAGCCTTATATATATAGTTCTATCTGTATATATCTGTGTGTGTGCGTGTGTGTGTAACTCTTGGAATCATAGGGATCCTTTCGGATTGTTTTAGCTTCACAGTTGTTTTCCTTGTGCAGCAGGGGGCCACCGGGGCCCCAGAGGAGCGGTGGCCAACGAAGACCTCCTCTGGGGCCCGTGTAAACGTACCTGCCAAACTGGTTGCCTGTTGTTCTCGCTGTGGTTTGCTTTCATGGTGGTTCATGTGGTTCTGTTACTAATCGCTACTCGCATTTCGTGTTTTGAGTCTTGCTGGACGTACTTGCGAATTTTAATCCTTTGGTAAAGCGCTAATGCATCTGCAGATGTGAGCGTACGTCGTCAGCCTGTTCGTTCGTCGTTCGGTCCTTTCCTTTTGGGCCTCCTTTCCTTTTGAAGACCCCCAGGATTCGATGGCTTCCTACTGGTACTCTTAGGAAATGGAACCCTAGGCCGGCGTGCGGCACCGCTTTCAGTTCAGTACACCCTATCCTAAGTGTGTTTGGCCTCGTGCCAACCCGGGATGAGCCCGCAGAGTGCCTCCCATGGACCCGTCGAACGGGGGTACGTCGTTATCTCCCCTGCTTTGGAGATGTACGTGTCCGGAGCGGACAGTAGATGGCTTATGCCTCAAGAAGTGGGATGTTTGTCTATCTTCGGAATTCCAAGTTGGCTCATGCCTTTACGTGACCGCAGCGGTCTAAGCAGCCAGCCGCTTCGGCAGGGCACAAGGTGACCACAGCGGTCAAAGTATTTTGAGGTTCATTGGAACCTGTTGGGACCTTAGCCCCCTTCTCCCCCTTCCCTTCCCCCTTTCTTTCTTTGCTTCCTGGGGTTTTCCTGAATGCAACACTCAGGATCACCCCTCTCTTTCTTTTGTGTGTCCCTGGACGCTTGTTCGTAGCTGGGAACACCTGCCTTTTTCATTTGTTTCTCTCCTCTCCCTTTCTCTCCCTCTCTCTTTCTTTCTTTCCTTCTCTCTCTCCTTCCTCCCTCCTTGGGTGTCCCTGGATGCTTTTGTCATAGCTGGGAACCTTCTCCTCTCTTCCTTGTGGTGTGTCCTTGGACGCATGCGTCGTAGCTGGGAACACCTTCCTTTCTTTTCTCTCCTTTTTCTCGTCTCTCCCCACCCCTCCCTCTTATCGGCACCTTAGCTTGGGATGCTACTAGGGGCTCCTGGCCTTCCTACTAGGTGTTAGGTGTTTCTTTGACGCTACTAGAGGTTCCTGGCCTTACCACTACTTGGGGACGAAGTACAATGAAGCCTTTTAGCATTAGAGGACAAGCTATCGTGAGATTCGTCGATTCACCGAGTCTCACACCACCTGTGGCGCGGAGCTTAAAATCTTGCCTCCCCTCGGGGAGGCGTGTGTGTGTGTGTAACCCTTGGAATCATAGGGATCCTTTCGGGTTGTTTTAGCTTCACAGTTGTTTTCCTTGTGCAGAAGGGGGCCACCGGGGCCCCAGAGGAGCGGTGGCCAACGAAGACCTCCTCTGGGGCCCGTGTATAAACGTACCTGCCAAACTGGTTACCTGTTGTTCTCGCTGTGGTTTGCTTTCATGGTGGTTCATGTGGTTCTGTTACTAATCGCTACTCGCGTTTCGTGTTTTGAGTCTTGCTGGACGTACTTGCGAATTTTAATCCTTTGGTAAAGTGCTAATGCATCTGCAGATGTGAGCGTACGTCGTCAGCCTGTTCGTTCGTCGTTCGGTCCTTTCCTTTTGGGCCTCCTTTCCTTTTGAAGACCCCCAGGATTCGATGGCTTCCTACTGGTACTCTTAGGAAATGGAACCCTAGGCCGGCGTGTGGCACCGCTTTCAGTTCAGTACACCCTATCCTAAGTGTGTGTCCGCGCGTGTTTGTGAGTGTGTATATATATATATACACAGTTTCATGGGTCCAGAACACGCTGTCCCACCCTGATGCTACTCACACCACTCTGGTTTTTTCAAATCTCACACAAAAACACTATCCTCCAGTGTAAACTTTGCTGGAATATCAAACACAAACTAAACAAATGCTTTTCACCTGTTGAGATTGAAGTGAAGCACACTTGAGGCCAGGGGTTGGTGACGATTGCAAGCAGGGCATGAGGAAGTCCCAGCCAAGCACGCAAGAGTGTGATGCAAGAGCCATTGGGTCAGGAGCTTCAAGCGGTGCGGCCTACAACAACTGAACCTCGACGTTTCAGCATGCTGCACCGCGAGCGGACCGCCCACCTTGGTTGTGTGGTGTTGTGCAGTTGGGGCCTTCTTTCTCGCGTCTGACCCACAGCAGACGCAGAAATGCCAGAGCGTTTGTAGCTGAAGCTAGCGGCTTCCCTTGGAAAGCTTTAGACGTGCCATGCACACCTCAGCGAGCTACCGAAATGTTCTTGGTGGGTCCCTTGCCGTGTTGTTGGAAGCTCTTACACGCTTCGACGATGTTGGTGGAACTCCGCTCAGAACGCCAAACTACACCATGGTGACCAATATACATGTGTCAGCTCACAAGAATGGCTTTTCCTTCTTGCTTAGCGGGGGGAGCTTGTGATTTCTGCTTGTGACAAGTGACAATGACACTCTTCCAGGCGGGCAACACGGATTCAGCCAGGGTCACACCACCTTGGTGCTTTTACTCCCTGCTGCATCAGCATCACATTTGCGCAGGGCCTTTCATTGTGGCCATGCACTCATGTGTCCTGAGATTCAGCAGCAAATGTTTATACCAGCACCTTTCGGGCTACTCATCTTTTTGCCACCAACTCAAAAAGACTTGGTGGCACAGCGCTGCTCCTGCCAGCAACACCTGGCAGAGCTTGCGCTGCAGGCCGTGCAGTGGCTCATTAGTTTAGGCCACATTGTTAAGGCTTCCAGGATCGTGCAGTGGACTACTAATCCTGGAGTCGGATGTCACCGAACTCACGCCCCCGAATTGGGTTAGGTTTTATGCAGATTGTTTGACTGTCGAAACTGTCGGCTTGACACTGCCGCGCTGCGCTGCTGCTAAGCACGTGGCGCCAATCGTCCAAGATGGAGGTGATGCAAACAGTCGCGCATACAGGACAGACCACAGGAGATCCTGCGACTAAGTCTGTCTAGAGAGGGAGAAAGAAGCAAGATAGTGCCGATGCATTCTGCTGCAAGTAGCTCCCATTCTTCTGTCTAATTGCTTGAACGTTAGTTTCTTGGCTAGCAACATTGTACAGTCCGTCCAAGCTGATGTTTTCTTGTGACTGATTCTTGCTTGTCCTTTCTGTCATAGAAGATGGTCATGCAGGCTTGCTTCTTTAGAGTCCGTGTAGAGTCCGTGTACAGTCGTCTCTGCTGACGTCATGCCGTGCTTCCTTTTCCGTTTGACCTGAGAAACATGTTTTTGGTTGGGGCCGAGACGATGCCTGTAGAGCTTCCAGCTGCCTTGCCACACTCACCTCTTCAGCATCATCCTCTTCCAAATCCAGCGTCGGCCCACAAAGGTCTCGGATTAGTTGGAAGCCCTTGCGGATCCAGTGCTCCTCGAAGAGCTGGGTCAGTGACGACGACAAAAACACCGAAACCCCTTGGCTCTAGGGTCAATCTGTCGTTGAGACCAGCAGGTACCAGCTACTGAGTGGTGGCATCGTCTATGGCACAATAAGCATCCCGGAAGGCTTCATTCTACCTGTGGTAATGCTCACCCCTACCTCAAGCAAAATGGCCATTAGGCTCCACATCCGGTAGACAGGAGGCTTCAAATCATCTTGAGGGGGGAACTGTATTCAGCAGACCCACCTGAAAAAAATAAAGATAGAAGAGCGCTGGATTGGCCCGCAAATCACCGGTCGCGGTCGACTCCTCGAGCTCCTCCTCCAGCTCCTGCTCCTCCTCGTCCGAAAGGTCCTGGTAGACGTGGTGGTTCCATTGGCAAAGAAAATAAATACGCCAAACTCCTGAAATAGCTCCTGAGGAGCAAGTACCATGTCTGTTTCCATAAGAAATGGATCTGAGATGATCTGAGAAATGAAACTTTCAGGAGCTAAGACCGCCATCGCCCTCCCCCCCTCACCCCATGGCCCTGTGTCCTCTGACATCGTGTAGACCAACTCTGGCCGAAGGTCGCCAGCATGCTGGGCATGGCTGGTTTTGATCCCCCAGCTGTTTTGATAGGAAGATTGTGGTAAGTAACTATGAACCATGTCTGAATGGAGAAGCGACAGCATGACGGAACAAATCTTCAATATGATTCCGCCACACCCTGGCACTCCCTACCTTGCCGAGGAAAGTCCCCCAACCAAACTGCATTGGGCATTGTTCAGTATGGGATCTCAGATCAAGTCGCAACATCCAAACAAATGCAATTCACCCAATCATCCAACCTTGATGATGATCAGGTGGCTGTGATGCCTCAATTGTTGTGGTCTACAGCTGTGCACTATGTAAATTGCCACTTGCTTGAGAATGCTGCGGATGCATGAATCACAGACATGCAGCTCGATTTGCAATCCCATGAAACCAAAACCCTGCAGAAGTTCCAGCTCGAGTGCTGCTGACACTCTTCTTTGGCAAAAGAGGGAATCACTTCGGAATCACTCGTGGGCTGGCACGGGTACAAACACTCCACAAATCACCATCCCTGCCCTCATGCCAAAGCAGCTCCGCCTCTTTCCTGATTGAACGGAGAATTTAGGCTCTTAAACTCAGTGACTTAGGGTCACAGTCCCAAAGGTTGTAGCTGAAGCTTAGGCACACTTTTAGCTCAAACACGCGTGAGCTCTGGTATCGAAATGAACACAAAAGTAAACCACAAACTTGAACAAACGGCTGCAGTGAAACATACATCTATACAAGCTATGTCATGTACATGTAACTGGTGCTACATCTGATCACGCCTCCCGAGTTTAACATCTCCCAGAAGTTAAGCGAGTCAGGGTTAGCACTTCAGTGAATTAGCTCGTAGCCCTTCAGTACATCTTGGTCTTGAAGAAGTACCTACTCTAGCTCAAGCCGTTCAAGCTTTCAAAGTCAGTTCATGTTCACCTTCCAGGTAGTGGAAGTTCATGCCTTTCATGGCTGTAGTCATTTTCTCTTCAGTGACAGCTTTCGTTAGCACGTCGGCCAACATTCGGTCGGTGCCTTCCTTCTTGAGACGAAACTCTTTCTTTGCTGTGCGCTCTTGTACCCAGTGGTACTGAGTGTCAACATGTTTAGCTCGTCCCAAGCCTCGACGGTTTCCCATGGCGATGCCAGCGGAAGCGTCCATTGTCACCTCTTTGCTGGGAAACAATCCCCAGTCTCTTGCAGTTGATGCGATTCCAAGCATTTGACATGCTCCTGAAACAAGTCCGTAGTACTCGGATTCGCCACTGCTCAGGGAGACAACTCCTTGGCCTTTGCTGTACGTAGTGAGACAGCATTTGTTGGCCATGAGCACGCCTCCTGACACACTCTTTCGTGTCCTTATGCAACCTGCATGGTCGGCGTCTGACCACATGTTGAAGGGGTTGCAGGTGCTTTGGTTTGGAAACAACTGTGCAACTCTTGGTCGATACCTGACATATCGAGCCAATCGTTTCAGCATATTCCAGTGCCTCGATGTTGGATTCTGTAGACCTTGTGCCAATGAGCGCGTTGCAGTTTGCAGATCAGGTCGATCCTGTGCCAAATACGCGGCTCTCATAGCAATAGATCTATACATCGTTGCATCTTCGGCACTCAGCGGAACTTCTTCGTGTTGGAGTTCCTCTTGACTTGGCTTGGCCAAAGGTGTTTTGACCTTGCCTGGTTGACCAGTGCCTAACCACTTGATGATCAACTCTGCATGTCTTGGATCTGGCTCCCACCAAATGCCTTCATTTGACCAGGTGATGATGCGATTCAGCACTCTGATCTGTTGGCTTGCCTTTGGTGAACCTGGTGGACCAAGAATGCCTCGTTCCACAACTTGCCATTCTTTGGCTGCTGAAGTGTGAAACCATTTGATGTCATCAAAACTTCCAACTGTCGTGAAATCGTCTCCATGCACCTCTGTTCGAAGTTCTCTGGATGCATGGTAGTAGATGCATGGGTTGGACTTGCCTTGAACAAATCCTAGCTTCTTCATAAACTCTGCAATGGTCAGCTCCCAATTCATGGGTGCGTCTCTGGTGCCGTAAAGGCTTCTGACCAATCTTCCTACCACATCTCCATCTTCTGGTTTCTTGCCTTCTGATGGAATTTCAACATAGAGTTCTCTTGTTGCTTTGGAGTAGAAATGAGCTCTCTTCACATCCAAAAATCCTAGGAATGATTGTTTTGCTTTTCTTCCTTCGCCTTTCTCCAATGGAAGGCTGTCGCTGACTGCAATGGTTAGCAGTAGCCTCAAAGCTGCTAGGCTCGGCATGGCTGCGAAAAATTCGTCAAAACCTGAGCCTCTTTTGATTTCTTGTGTGCTACCAATCGACTTCTGTAGAGAGGATTGGTTTCATCTTGCTTGTTCACATCTACCCATCGAGTTCCAATGATTTTGGTTCCTTTTGGAACTTTGCTTCTTGGGGTCTTCTCCCAGACTCCCATTGATTCGACAATGTCGATTTCGTCTTTTCTGGCTTTTTCTACCTTCTCAGGTAGAAGCTCTTTTCCACTGATGTCATCGTAGTACCACCAGTCTTTTGCCTCTTCTGCCATTTCTTCTGGCAGTGGGATCTTCTCTCCACACACTGGTTTCTCTGGGTCGATGCTAGATAGCACTCTCTCTCTGTCTTCTAGGATTAGGCTTTCTAGAGCCATCTCAATGCTCTGGATGTCTCTTGTTCTCTCGGCTTCATCTTCATGCTCGCCTTCTGCCTTTCTCTTCTTGTCTCTATCTACTCTGGCTTTTGCTGTGGGTGATCCTGCTGGTTCATGTTGCTCTTCATGCTCTCTCTTTTCTCCATGTGGTTCAGGTTCGCGTGGTCTGCGAATACCTGATGCTGAAGCTGATGCTGTGCCTGGTGTTGGTGGTGCTGCTTCTGGTTCGTACCAAAGTTCTGTCACAATGTCCATCTTGTGTGGTAATGCTCCATTGAGTATCTCTGGTGGAAGGTCTGTCGTCATGACTCCACTCTCAATGATTGCATTGTTTGCATGGTTTCTTGTGACTCGGTGCCAGACGGTAGACCAATCAGGTCCTCCTGGCATGGTGGTTTGAAAACAGCAAGCTTCGACGTCAAGTCGTGCGAACACTCGACACGAATCGGGAACTCCCGATGGTCTTTTGCTTTCATATCCATGAAGGATTTGAGGTCTCTTACCACTGACTGGTTGTGGCATGCCAGTGATTGCCTCTCCAACTCGGCTTTCATGTCTTGCTACTCTTGGGTTCTCTTCTTCTTCTCCTCTGATGCACTCTTCAAGTCTGTCTCGACACCTGTTGGTGTGATGGATGCCTGTAGATCTCTTACCAATCTGTGTGGCATCACAAGCTGGGCAACCTGCAGTGTACCCAAACTTATCCAGGTCTTTCTTGGTAATGTAAAGTCTTCTCAGCTTTCTTTTCTTGTCATCGATTGCCGGTGGTTGAACTAAAGCTTCACCACTTGGGCTGGCAATGATTGGTTCCCTTGGGGCTGCAATCGCTGGTTCTTCGCGAATTGCTTGAGGATCCCAGGGAATCCCAGTGATCGATTTCAGCAACTCTAAATCATATCGATCTTCTTCTGGCTTTCTTCGGATGGATTGCACTGTGAAAACGCCTGTGGAATTTCCTACTATCTTCTCTGTGGTGGTGTCTTTCACTCCTAGAAAAATTCCTTTGGTCCATTGGGCCTCGAACTTGTGGCCTCTCTTGAGGTATTCGATGGCCTCACCAAATGGTGGAATTGCTACTTTCCATTCACGTCCACGAAGTCGTGAATACGGAGTCTTTCCGTCTTGAAGTTCGGTGGATCGGAAAAACAAGTTATAGACAGTGGATGCGTGTTCGACCAACCAAGTCAAAACAGGTGAATCGTCAGGAAGTTTCTCGCCATAATTCGACTCGATTGCGGCTCGAAGAGTTCTGGCTTGTCCTTCCAAGGTTTGAACTGCTCGTTCAATTTCTCCCTTGGGTTCTTTGACTCCTTTCGGGCTCTTCTCGATGATCAGGGTTCCTTCAAACCCATTCTTTACTGCCTCAACAACGGATGTGAGAGCAGGTTCAGGATCATGTCGAATGATCAGTTTGGAGTATCCTAGTTTCTTGATGTCGTTCAGAAGTACTTTGGATCCATATGGACCTTTTGTCACACCTTTGTAGGGCAACACATGAGCAAAACGATGCTTCGTCCATCGATCTCTGACAACAAGAATTGGTGCATGAGTCTTCTCGTCCAAAACTACGTCATCAGTCCGCGAGTTCATGAAACAGTAGTCTACAGTTACTACTGGGGTTGTCTCATCGGTGTGGTCTATCTTTCTGTGGGGGTTTGCCTCAACTTTTCCCCTTACACAGGCCTCACACCAAGACCTAAAAGGAAAGTGTGAAACAGCATGCTCTTCAAACTCTTCTCGCGTCGGGCGAATGGGAGCATTGATTTTGAGCTCAGGCGGAACTTCGTCGCCTGGCTCGGCCTCTTCGGCCTGTTCGTCCACTACCGGACTTACCCATTGCGGTGCCGGACGAAAGGGTGGAATGCAATCGGCACAGAACAGACGCCGTTGCTGAACGAGATCGGGATCTTAGTCCCGTCTCGGGAGATATGTCCACCAGATCCGTGCATCTGAATGGACCAGCCCTTGCTCATAAGGGCCCCCGCGGAGAGCAGCGGTTTTGCAACCGCCATCACCCGGAAACAGCAACGTCCATTGAGGGAGTTCTGGCCGACGCCGATGGTCACCATGGCATCGATCTTGCCAAGGTCCTTGACCACTTCGCCTGAGGCAGTCTTGTAGACTTTGCAGGTGGCTTGTAGCCCAATGCGGTGGCCAGTTCAACAGGGATGCAGGAGGTCGCGGCTCCTGAATCCAAGGTCACCTGATGAGCCATTGGCGTCTCCATGGATGCCAGCTCCAAACTCCTGAGAGCGAGTGGATCTTCATCGCCTTCATCAGGCTCACTTGAGGGAGTGGGATATCGTTTTCCCTTTCCCTTCTTGGCCTCACGGGCAGCATCCTGAGTGGCCACGTTGACAGCTCGAGTCAACTGCACTTTCTTCTGCTTGCCCTTTCCTTGGCCCTTCTCGGAGGCAGCCGGAGCCGAAGCGGCTCGGCTTTTGCCCGGGGATCGTGACCAGGACTTCAGCCGAAGCGTCTGCCTTGGCGCTTCGCTGGATTCCTCTGGCTTGGATCCTGGTCCACGGAATCGCTCCATATGCTCTTCAGTCGAGCTCTTGAACCAGGCCATGCGCTCCTCCTTGGTCTTGCCCTTCTTCTCAGGAGGTGGAGGTGTCTTGGCGATGCGCCTCTGCTTTGGCGTCTTGGGGCCAACATCATCTTCCTCCTCCTGCTCTTCCATCATCTTCTGCATATGGGCAGTCATGTAAAAAGGAGGTTCGTTCTTGACGGTCTCAAGCTTTGGATCTTTCGTCTTCAAATGCTTTGCCACATCTTCGGGCTTCAGATCCATGTCGGCATCTTTCACATGCTTTGGCGCATCTTTTGAAGTTGGGCTGCCTTGCTGTCCCTTGGCAGTCTTGATGCGCTTCCCCATCTCTTTCTGCTTGATCGTCCATTCCTTTGCCCACTGGTTGAGGGCTTTTGGTGGGCAGCAATTCAAAGCCATATGATGGTTCCATAGGCCGGTGTCATTGCCACACCTCAGGGCCTTGTTGCACGCACGGCAAACCATGTGCTTGCTGCCATCTCTGTTCTTGTGGGTGCATTTGGCTACCCATTCATCATAGCTGAGGATGCGCTCTTGGAACATGTGATCGAGCCATGGCACAGTGTCTTTCTCTTTTTCTTCCTCTTGTCCATCTGACTCACAGTGCCATTCTCATCCTCTTCAACTTCACCTTCAAACTCTTCTTCTTCTTCGAGTTCCTCGATCTCAGTCACATCAAGGGGATTGATGTTCTCCATGACTGGAGCTGCGAAGGATGGTGCACTTGTTGCTCCTTCGCCTTGGCTTTCGATGCGCTTCATCGCAACGTAGTCCTCTGGGTTGAACCCAGCTGCAGTAAGCGCTTTGTCGATGACACTGCGGGCTGGATGGCTGGTAGCCGTCCATGTCTGGCTTTCCCGCTTCATCTCTGCCAACTCTTGAGTGGAAAGATCCTCGATCTTGGGCTCCTTCTCTTTTGGCTTCTCAGGCTTCTTTGCCTTTCCTGGCTTCTTGTAGCCACGATGCCTCTGGGCCTTTTCCCGACCTCGAGGCTGAGGGGCTTCATCAAACTTTCCCTCATCATCTTCATCATCCCAAGCTTGAAGTCGACCAGTACCCTTGGCACGAGCAATCTCATAGTAGTCGAGCTCCTCAGGGTAGTTGGCCTCATAGTCGCGCCAGGATTCGAAACGATCCTGGGCCTTCTCAACGCGATGCTGCTCGGCGCGCTGACGGCTCTTCTCCTTCTTCTTGGCCAATCTTGGGTCCGTGCCTGATGCCAAATCAGCTGAGAGCCTTGGCGACTCCGCCGGAACCGAAGCGGCGCGGCGAGGAGTTGGTCTCTTCAGCAAGATCTTGGCTTCTCTCTCCTTTTCTTCATACTGTTCTTTCAGCCTCTTCATCTCGGCCTGTTGTTCCAAGATGGCGTCATTGGCTGCTTTGCCTTTGGCTTCGGCCTCTTCGATGGCCTTCTGGATCGTCTCAGACTTCTTCTCATACAGTTCGCGATTGGACTGCATGGTCTCTTGGATTGCTTGGTTCATGACTGCAATCCCAGCAGCTGCAATTCCAGGACGACCTTTTCCAGCTCCTGGCTTCTTTGGCATAGCCTTGACTTCAGTCTCAGCTTTTGCCTTGGCTGCTCCACGAGAAATTGCGGCAGGTGCTGCTTTCTCCATCTCGATGGCAAAGAGGGTGGCGATATCAGCGGAATACTCAGGCTCGGGTTGATGCTCTTGAGCCATAGAGGTTTCAGATTCCTCCACTGAAGCTACCTTCTTACTCTTACTCTTGCCTTTACCTTTAGAGTCTTTTCCTTTGCCACCTTTGCCTTTACCCTTGGAGTTTTGGTTGTACCAACTACTCTTGTTCCAATCATTCTTATACCAATCGTTCTTGTTCCATGAGTTGTTCCATGACGAGGGATTGGACCATGAAGAACCTTTTCCCTTCTGTTTACCTTTGTCGTTTCCCTTGCCTCCATCTTGACTCTTGCCTTTTCCTTTGCCGCCTTTTGAGCCACCTTTGCCTTTTCCTTTGGCTTTGGCCAGACTTGCAAGTGAAGCTTGCATCTGGCTGGCAGCTGCGGCTAATGCATCAACATCCATTGGTGCTGATCCAGTCTTTGCTTCTTTTCGGCTCTCGATGTTCTCGAGGTAGGCCAAAATCTCTGACTTCATGATGGCATAGTCAGTGAGTCTCGAACTCTGGAGGTCAAGGTGATCTTGAAGTTTGGCTGGACACATCTGCTGAAGACAACTTCTTGCGATGTCATCATCAAGAGCTTTCTTCTTTCGCTCTTCATACTTTCGCCTGATGTTTTCCCAGGCTTCTATGCTCTCTCTGAGCTTGTCCAATGCACACTGTTGTGGGTGCAGGACCTTCTTCAGCAAAGCTGAGTTTGCTTGTGGGTTCTGTGGATCATACTTAGTGATCAATCGTCTCAAAGCCTCTAGGCCAAAGTGCTGACCTCTGGAGGTATTCTTGACAATCTCGAGGGCTTCTCCCTCACATAGTGAGATCAGAGCCTGTCGGGCCTGAGCTGAAACAAGCTCGGCTCCTTCAGGATAATCATCTTCCAGAGATGTCTCATTGATCTCTGTATCTTGATGCTCTTCGAGGAGCTGAATGCACTTTCCTGCATTCCTGTGACTTGTCTCAATCCAAGTCTTGAACTTGAAGTACCATGAGTCCCAGGTACCTGTGTGTCCACTGAACTTGTCAGGCTTTGGAATGCCTTTCAATTCTGATCTGTCTCTTACTTCTACGCTGGTGGCTATGTTCTTTGTGATCGCCGTTTGTTGTGTGTATGCTTCTGCCATTGCTCGTTGCAACTGGCTCTGCCCCATGTCTGTGGCTTGTGGTGCCTGTGCTCCTGGCTGTTGCGCCATGTTGACTTGCTAGCCAGGGATTGAAGCAATCCGGCTTTCCTGCAAGTGATGCTTGTTTTGTGGATCTCCGGTGCCAGAGCCGAAGCGGCTCGGCAACCTTCGATTCGCAGACGGTAGCCGGGTCTTAGAACCGCGGCTCCGCTACCATGAACGGAGAATTTAGGCTCTTAAACTCAGTGACTTAGGGTCACAGTCCCAAAGGTTGTAGCTGAAGCTTAGGCACACTTTTAGCTCAAACACGCGTGAGCTCTGGTATCGAAATGAACAAGAAAAGTAAACCACAAACTTGAACAAACGGCTGCAGTGAAACATACATCTATACAAGCTATGTCATGTACATGTAACTGGTGCTACATCTGATCACTGATTGAACCTCCAAATTTTCAATGCGCTGCGCCGTCGATCCCAAGGAGTGCAATGTTATATGGTCATAACCTGCACAGCAATAAAGGATGGAAAAAGAGATATCTTCCCCCTTTGTCATCCACCGACATTGAGTATCTTGGACGAAAGGCTCGAGCTGCACCCTTTTCCGCAGCGGCAAAGCGGAACATCAATGTGCGAGCTGGTGGCCGTGGGCGTTTTGAAAGCAGCCACCAACCCCAACCTCACTACGTAGTGCTGCGGGACTTCGGATTCTGTGCACGCGAGGAGCTCCAATTTGCAGCGACGACTCCCAAGGAGGATTTCAGTATTGTCAGTACAGTCAAACAACTCACAGTCGTATGTTAGGGTGCATGTTCGACAGTGGTAGTTATAGCATTCTGAAAAGGCATAACCCGAAACATACTCGAACCCCTCCCTGTCCGTGCAAAGTCTAAATATATTACTACTGTATCAGAAGTAGAATTGCACTACCGTCTTCTTTGGCTGAATAACATGTTCACAAAAAATACCCTCCCCCAAAGGCCCTTTGGCAGTCCCACACTAAGTCAAAAGAATCTCCTTCACATGTGAGAGGGGAACAAAAAAGTTCTGCAGCTTTGCTGCATGAGAACCAACACTAGTGTGAGGGCCTGCAAAATCTGCATGATGTCCAAAGGTTTTCTGCTGGCAATGGGCAGCAAAGTGCGCAGTGTCACATGCTAGTGGCGGAGTCCCTCGCGGCATGTCAAAGCCCCACAATTAGCTGTTGGGCTCAGCAGGTTGGCGCTCAGAGCTTCATCAAGTCTCTTGGTTGGCGAAATGTCGGTCCATGCTGTTGATGAAGGAAATCCTGGACCAGCATAAATAGTAGGCTTTCCGATTTCTTCCGCCAACAGTAGGTCTGAGTCTACCTTCAAGGAATAAACTGTCTGCTAGCAAGAAGGGACTTCTTAGGTGTCAGTCGCAAGATGCGCTCAGCAAACGTTTAGTCCCACAGGACATCTCCAACCAAGATCCTGGAGCCAGATCAAGAACTAGCCAAGCTGCCCTCCGCCAAAAAGACAAGACAACTGCCATGGTTCCGTTCCAGGAGACCGAAAGGATCCACTAGGGTTCCTCCGGGTTCCTCCGGTTCCACCTCTCTGCGAAAACAACAGGCACTTCCGAACCCTAGTCTGGAGTCTTAGATGGCTTCAGCTGATCTGAGTCAGCTCTTTGAAGGGGGGCTTGTTCATCAGATGCACATCAGTAGCGGTTTTTGGGGGGGACCAACAAAGTTTTGTCTCAATGTCAGATCATTGCAAAGAGCTCAGAAAGGTTCGTTGTCCTCCTTCGCCTACCAAAAAGCACCGAGTTGCGCGGCATTCTTGGTTGGTTTCACCTCATCCTTCTTAAGGAACCTCCATGAGGATACAAACCTGGCCCAACCAGTGGCAGGTGTACTGCGACCTACTGTCAATGCCAACTCATCCATGCCCTTTTTGCTTTGAATGCCATGAGCACGATCGTTTCTGTCGAGGAGTGAAGCACCTGTGGAATCTGCTGCAGATATGATCGTTCCATGCAAAGAAAATGCGTTGCGTCACAACTTCAACACGGTGTGCATGTGTATATATATATATGTGGCAGGGACCTTTTGGTAACATTTCGTTGCGGATGAAAAGCACCGGCGCATTTCTCACTAGCGCGCACAGGTCTCATTTGCCCATGCCACCACGCACAGGGGAAGGAGAAACCGGACGTCGCGGGTCCTTAGATCGGTTTCTCATTGTTTTTCATTGTTCAATTATTGCACATGTATATTGGGAAGCATGCGTTGCAACTAATGAATCAGCCAAAGCGTCGTCCACTGATCTCTGGCCTGTGTGAAAATTCTCCCAGTAGAACACTCCTGGCTTTGTGCCTTGGATACAAGCGCTGATGGCTGATGGTTCCCGAAGCCTAGAACGGTTGGCATGACGTTCAAAAGCTTGTTACGCTTTTCAAAAGAGTACGGCCGCTTTTGCGTTCAAGCCAGGCTGCGGCTTTCGATCTTGCGCCAGCTCAAGTTGTACGCCTTTTCCTCACAAAGGTACCGATTGAAAAATCTTTTCGATAACCATCAACCGGATTGATTCCCGCGCAGATATGAACATAGTGTTTGGTGAATTCAATTCATGAGTGGCTTCGTGCCAAAACAAATGAGGCTCCCAAAAGCCACGTGATCATACGGTTGAAAGAGTTAAAAGAATGTCTCCGTCATTTTCGCATGCCAATCATCCTTGCGTCTTTGCAACGCGTCGAACCATCCTTTGGAAGGGACAGAGGCCTCCACCATTTCCTCAGCGTGCAACTCTGAAACGCCCAGGGCGCATTGATTGAATTGTTTGTCCATGTCGGGCCGCCAGAAATATGTTGATTTGAGCGTTAAACAAAAGTTCCTGCAACTCCGTAACTTGCCCGCAATTCTGCCAAATCTGAGACCCTGGCGTGCCATCTGGGCTTGAAGCCCCTGCCAGGTGGTGCGGATGTAAATGGTCTACGCAGGTAAACTGTAAAGAAAGAGCCACTCTTGCAAAGCAATACATGTTCTTTTTGGTGGCTAGAATCAGACTCTGCTCCACATGGATTGTGAAACTAACAAGCGCAAAACACAAGCCAGAGCGCAAACCTATGTACGTTTTTGTTGAAGCATCAGCTTTCGTAAGCTCAACAAATCATATGTTTCTATGTTCGCTCGGCACCATAGTTCTAGTTTCTCTTTGGAGCGGCGTCCTACACCACCGGAGTATGGATTTCGTCGCCCGACTCACCTTTCTGCACCCGGAATACAATCCGACGGGTCACGAAAGCATTGTCTCCCCAACGACGCACTGGCCTTGCCACCGTGGACACCATATACATCGACGGGTCCCGTAGCTCCTGGATGGGGCAACCACATACCATGACTTACAAAAAAGAATAAGCATGAATAGCACGTATATTGTTGATGCTTTGACAGTTTGCATGGCTTTTGAAGAGTTTGTTTGCTTTTGTTGTGTTTACTCTTCTTCACACTCCGCAGACCTTCGCAGGACAATGATACTTGGCTAAGATCCTTTATCTAAGCTTACTGTTCTGCTTCGACTCTTCACCTCCACCTCGCCAGATCCCCGATTCGACGAAGCGGGTGTCCTTGGACTTCTCAAGGGCAAACTCCAAGAGCTTTGCCGCATGCTGTGGCGGAAGGCCTGGGACATCGCAAACATCCGATGATTAAAAACACAAAACAAACAATGCACTTCCAAGTCTGTCAAAAGAAGTCCTTCATCAAAAGGATTCTGATCAAAACCTTTCAACCAGCTCTCTGGAGAACATGTGAAAAAAGAAAAGTCTGATACCTTCTATACATCTCAAATATCATTACATCTGTGTCTTCATAACTCTACGCCGTTCCAGTGGCCTGTCACTGCGACGAGCGCTTCGTTTTGTACCGAAGGACCACCTTTTTGCACCTGGCTCCTCAGTGACGACCACATATCCATCCGACCGGGAAGATCGAAAGCGGACGTTCACAATCCACCGAAACATTGCTTTTGGTTCAAGGGGCGACCATCTGCATGGAAGTCTATCATAGAAATTAAGGGGGGACCATCTGGATGGACGCTGTATTACAACTCACCGACTGCCCTCGACCAAAATCTAATCTCTGAGAATCAAATTGGATTAAAGTTCACAGGGTATGTTTCTTGAAGTGCTTCACTGTCAGTCTCTATGTTTCACTTCAGATCCCCACAGAAGCCGCTCCATGGTTATTGGATCAATGCCTTCCGGGCCTGAGCCACGAAAAGACAGTCGATCCGAGAAACTTTCCCATTCGTTTCCAGGAGACAACTGAAGAAGCCATGCCATGGTATGTGAAAAGTAAGGAACTAAGCAGTAAATTGATTTTAGTGTTTATGTGAGGAAAACACCTCTTGATATGGGTAGTGGCCCTGTCATCGACCGTCTCCCCACTCCTCACCTGAAGGTGCTGCATTTTGCAGACCTTTCGCAGCTCCTGTGCCAAGCTTTCCGCATTCAATCGGATCAAGGAAAACCTAATGCAGCCTATAGGCAAACCGACCTGGCGATGATCTGTGATTGGTAGATCACTTGTCAATGTGTCAACTTGTCAACGGCTAATGCGTTTGTGTCACTCATTCACTAATAGCCGAAGTGTCTCGCATCACGACAATCAAACATGATTCGAAAAAAACGGCGCGGAGCGCTTCGGCGTAATCCGCCTGGAGGAAGCTTCTCAGCGACCTGCAGCCATGAAGATTTCGTAAAGTTCCCTCATGACACATGTCGTGGCGTCGTTGCTGTGCTAACTGTTCTCAGAATGTGCACTGTGTAGTTTGTTCTGTCCTATTTCAATCCGTACCCTTGCGCACAGCTGAACGCTCAGCATGAGAGCCGGGCCTCTTCGGCTCGCGCAACACACTGCTTCTTTGCCGCAGCGCCGCGCTCACCTGTCATGCCGGCGGCGCATCTTTGGGTATGAATATGCCATATAATGTTCCGCTGTACCTTCTTGTCTACAACATATGATGTTTGATCAATATTCTTTCATCCTGGAATGGCCATTCATCGCGAAAAAGCAGATATCTTTCGCGGATCTTTCGCGACCTCATCGCGAAGCATGTTCCTCAAGAGAGGTTGGTTACTTAACATGTTTTGGGTGAGTCAGAGAGTCATGTATATTTATATATAGAGATACGGTGGGCGGAAGAAGAAATCCTGCACCACTTTGATACAGCCGTCATCCAAAGCTGACAGACCAGCAGCCCCACATCCCTATTCCAGGTCGTTGGGGTATGGGGGTGGGGTCAAGTTTGGTAGGCAGAACTTTATCGGCACATTCGTGAAACTTTCGCGGATCTTTCGCGAAAAATCACTAATGATTTCCCCATTGGCTCAAACTGGCTCAGCCAGGTGATTGCACTTTGGCTGTATTTGGCGCCATCTCTGTGGCTAGATTGCTTCAAGCACAAATGCCTCTGACAACTATACACATCTGTGATCTATGACACATAATACAGGAATCCCACAAACATACGCTACACTACACATTGACATCCCAAAACAAACTGAAACCAAGTAAAGTTCTACGTAGAAGCTTTTTATCCAGTGGGCCATAAAAGGAGAACCAATATTAAAACCAGAACCTTCGATAAATCTTTCGCGAAAAACATGTACTTTCGCGAACCTCATCGCGAAGCTTTCGCGGAGGGTTTTAACAACATCTAAAAGGCTGTTTTATATTAAACTCCTTACGCTGGGTTTTCGATCATCTCCCATATGGCTCACAACTACTTTTTGGACATGCCCGGAAGGACTCGATTCGCCGTCAAACCCGGGTATAGGCCTTCCACGGCAAGTCCATACCAATCTGCCATCCGCTTGGCGCGCCGCTCTCTGCGCGCCATGGCAAAGGGCCAAGGGGTGAAAAGCGGAGCAACCGTAAACATAGAACATTGCAGTCAACAATGAAACATCTGTCCTTTATTGCCTTTTGAACGGATGACTTTTGTGACATTGAAACCCATTGAAACCCACGACACTTCCGCGCACCCATGGGGAAAAAAGGAAAAACTATAGCCAACAGTTCACATCGACATGCATGGTGAAGCGTTTCGTTTAGTCTCTCGGTCTCTCGTCTATTGTTTTTCGTCTTAGTCAGTCAGAATACAGCAGCATATGAAAACTATTTAGCGCATTTAGCACATTAGTCTTTTGTTGTCTACCAGAAAAAACGTCCAGCCAGCAATCAAGTTTTGCGTATTAGCGCTGTGCACGTCCATCCTACACACATATGATATGGCACGCAGTGAAACCTAACTATAACTCCACCATCTGCAAGAAATATAGAAAAAGCTAAATTATCCTTTTTGTAACAAATACTATTTGCTGTCCCCGAAATTTTTCGAATCAGTCTACCATGTCAACACTACCTTAAAACAACAAATAGTAGTAATAGTAGTCGGGATGCGCTTAGCAATGAAAGGTGATGAACCAAAATAAATTGGAAAGAGAAATCACATCACCAGAAACAAAACCCATGCGTGCCAGATGCACCACTTGTTAACTCACAACCCTGGTACGGGAAGAAAGGAGACCGGGACCAGCGCAGCAAACCAGCCGTGCAAGGGTGGCTCAAAGAAGAAACCTACCACCCCAAAATTTAACCAAAAAGGTCGCAACGAATGAAGACCCCTTCATAAAGGAGAGTGCGGGCGGATCAAAAAGAGAAAAGGACACAACAAAGCACTAAACCCGTGGCGGAAGATCCGCCAACAAACGTTGCCCTATTCCAAGAGCAACCCTACTTGGCTGAACTCATGACCAGTAGATCCAACCAACCGATTGAAACAAATCATTGCAAGCAAATCACCGTTTGTTGTACGCTCGCGTACACGTCCCAAGACTTCAGATCTCCACAAGGTAGGCAGGTTCCGAAGCGTGACAGCACTTCCCTCAAGATTTTTCAAGATGACCTCACCGAACCTGCTAACAGCCTATAGTGGGGCAAGGGAACTCGACATCACAAAAGGTGCAGTTACACCAGGTTGCTCAGTTTCACCATCACGCACGCGTTCAATCCACAATAGCACAGAGGTTCACACTATTCACTGTTCCTTTATCTCTTTCATACGCCACAAACACATCTCTATGCGACTACGCGTATGCCTGAATCTCCATCCATATATACGCTCAGTTTAAAATCTACAACCGTGACATCTTGTCTGTCAGCTGACGCAATGAACATTTTTCTGGTTGCAAAAAGTCGAATGTCATTTGACACCGCCTCTACGCAGTCTGTGGCGACGAGCCAATGTAAAAACGGTTCTCTTGGCTCTTTTTCGAACCGTCTTGGGTTTACATGTTGTGGCGCTGCGCCAATCCTTTACAGCCTGGACTTCATCCCTCCGCGCAGAGTGCAGCGGAAGCTTTGCTTTGTTAATCCGACACCAACACCTCCACTGTTCCTCACACCAAACATCAACTCCAACACACTGTGCCAGCAAGCTTCCTTCCGGCATCTGTCTGCTTGTTGGGAAAAACAATGCTGTTTGATGCGCCAGCAATTTCCCAAACTGCATGATTTGCAGCTTCAATCTCAGTGTGCTGCGATGCATAGTGCGAATTGGACGCGTCCAAGTGTTTATCTGAGCGTGGAGGGCCTCATTCGACGAAGTTCCGCTTGGAAGTAAAGCCCGCTGCCAAGGTTCCATTCCGTGACGAACCATCAAATTGTTCATAAGCCAGCCCAATCGGTCTGGGGCACACGCGGCCCAAAGTATTTGCCGGACTTCCTTGTTTTGACCCGTCACCTTGCGGCATACTTCAGATTCGTACTGCTGCGCGATAGCAGCCACAGTTTCAATGAATGTAATCCTGCAAAACAAAGGGGTCGCAGGATCCAGCCTGGCCAGAACAATCTTCGCTGCACGCTCCGGCATGGAGGAATTCAAAATCATATGCCGCAATCGTTCCTCTTGCGCTGTCAGGGGACTGGCATGTGAGCCACAGAACATAGAACCCCAAGATTTATCTGAACAACGCTGATCGACAATGTTAACCTTGTTCAAGAGCTGTCGCAAAACCTTGGAACCAGACGTTCTACGGTGCCAATGGGCATACTCGTAGACAATTGCCAAGTGCACCGGATCCAGCGACAAAGCACGCAGATTTACAAGGCATTTCTTCAAAGTAAAAAAGAGCTTCGAAGAAGGTGAATCAGTGGCTATATACAGCACCTGTTGCAGTGCCTCAGTGTCCAGAGAAGTAGCCAGAGCTTCAGATATACAATCTGCATCTTCACCTGTCAGGGTTGGGCTGCAATCAATGCATTGGGCGCATTGAACCTTTCTATTTGCCCTAACCATTACCACCTCGCCTCTGATTGGCACCATGGCAACCACTGCACCAGTCCGACCACGTACTGTCAGAACCCGCCGGTAGGCCACATCGTCTCCAAAGGCAGCCTGATTTCGTACCTTTACGGAGCTGCGCCAGCTTGCTTGGCCTGCAACCCCAGCGCATATTTTGAGCGTGGCATCCACAGACAAGTAGAGGAACTCGGAATTGCGCAGCAACGTTGTGGTGAGAGAGTTGAGGATGATGCGAATGTGCTTGCACGCGAAAATGTCCTCTACCACAGGCCACCAATCCCTGTTGTGGGCTGGGTAGAGGCGGCCTAGTGGATTGCCAGCTTCCAGTGATCGAAGTTGTAGCCGAGGCCAGACGCTTTTGACCTGCAGAGAGCTTTGAATCTAATCTAATGGGCTGTCTCTGTAATGAACAAGCTTTAAAGACACACAAACAGAAAGAAAAACATTCAAGAAATCCCAAGCCCAAGCCCGTTTCAGGCCACGGAGCATTTGAATGATGAAGTACAACTTCGCGGTACAAGACCTCGGCGAAAGATTTGTCGTAGTAGATGTTGAGGACTCTGCGGGCAAAGATGGTTGTGCCGAAAGCCGCTTTGTTAACGTAGACAGGGCCGCCTGCTGTGAATAGAAGTCGAACTTCTCTGTCGATGTAGGTCTGTCGATGTGAGAGAGGAGGGGCGCAGTTGCGGGCCATGAGCGAAGCACTTCGAAACAAGAAGTCACAGCCTCTGGCCCTGCGAATGCAATCGTCATCGTGTAAAGCAAGAATGACCTTCAGTTGTTTTGTACCGGAGCAGGCAAACTGCACCTCTGATGTGTGATAATTTTCTATATGTACACGCAGCTGTTGAAGCCTGGCAAATGATCGAAATGGGCATAAAGTGCACCGATACAGCCCACCAATCTTCCGGATGTTGTCGTCAATAACTTCTTGCAGGAAGCTTGCTACTTCCTCCTCCATCGAATCCTTCAAGTTGTCGTGCACGAAGACTTCCCCCTCATCATTCACGATCAAGCTGTCGGCATCTGGTAACTCATCTTCCGATGATGAGCTGCCGGCCTGCAGGTCCAGCAATAGGTCACTTGGGGCGCAATGGTCATTCTGAATGGTGAAGGTAACGACTGTGTGTGAATCTACCCCTTCAAAAAGGGCAGCTAGAAGATTGTCGATGCTAATCGTCCAGCGCGCGTCGTGGTCACGCACGGTCGCATTTCCTTTGTCTAGCTTGACGGCAACGCAGTGAGGAGTACCTCCATTCTCTGTGTGCAGAAGGAATGAATGTGGTGGCGGGGACGAAATCCCAAGTGTAGCTCCGAGCTCAATTCCAAACAGCTCACAGCATTGCCGGTAGCTTCGATGCCCGCGCTCTAGGCAGTAGGTGTTCTGTGGATGCTCGGCTTCAATCTTTCTCACTAGGTCCTTCTTGGAAGCAACTAAATGCCAAAGAGAAGAAGGAATACAATTTCCATGTTTTTTCAAAGCATCTGGAAATTCATCGGGCTCACCCGTCGCCGATGACTTGGCCTTTTGTTTGATTGCCTCCAGCACGTGCGTATGCCTTTTCTCAACAACCTTAACATCAAAGCCTGTGCTTTTTCGGATGTGCTCTTCAGATTCCTGAATGATCTTGGCAACATCCTCGGAGACATCTGAGCTCACTCGCACACCGTCAAAATGCAACGACAAATGGCTGGGCTGAAGTCTTTTCAAGAATTCGCACCAGTGCTCCAGAATGTAGTCTTCTACTGAGGTCCAAAGATAGTAGAAAGCTGTTGCAGCAGGGAAAGCTTTTTGGCCACTCTGGAGAATCTCCTTATAGTCATCCTTCACCACTGAGCACGCAAACCACCTCAGGTAAATACCAGCCTGTTGCATTCGTTTCAGCCATTCATTGTTTTGAAGCTTCGGCGGAACAGAGCCGCCGTTCAAGACTCTGTTGACAAGTGCCTTGCCTTCTGCGTAGGCCACTTGCAGCAACTTTTCGCAGACCTTTTGTCTGGACTGATGCCATTCGACAAGGACTGCCTTCACCTGCGCAGGCATCTCCGGACTTGGCTTCAATTTGTCAAGAAGCTGCAACATGATTGTAACACAGCAATTTGCGATGTCCAAGTCCCTGCTGTGATGGAACAAGTGCATTTGCACTCTTCGGGCGCACTTTTGCGCACCCATTCCTTCAGCAAACCTCCTCGTGCGTATGGTCCTATCATCTCCATAGTGGTAGGACACGCTAACTTTGACAACATCCTGAGGAGCGGCCTGCATCTTGTGAACAGCACGCCTTCTTGGTGTGCTGGATGTTTCTGCAATATCTTCACCCAATGCGCTATAATGTAAGCAAGCGCCCTCGTACGCCTCAAGCTTTTCCAATCGCTTCTGATATTCTTCGACCAGATCTTGTTCGTTGCATTCCTTCCTTGCCACAGGCCCTCGCCTGCCAGCTGTTGACGATCTTGTAGGCTTGGATGTGCAAAGGCGCTCCAAAAAAAGTTTCATGGTAGCTACATTAGCGCTTCGGCTGGTGTCCCTGGATAAATACGAATGCAACTGCTTCAAATCCGATACCTCTGGAA